TTATGGGTTTATAGCTCTTTAATTGTGTTGATTTGCATATTTACATTGTTCTAAATTCCAAATAAATATTTTTGAGTAATTTTGTTGTATTATTTACTATTAGAAAAAGTAAAAAGTATATTAACCCTCATTTAAACCTCCTGAACAGCCCGCCATTAAAAACCGGAAACGGAAATAAATTTCATAAAATTGAAATTGTCATGTCAATGAAGTGTCTATGTCATGTCAAATGTCCCAGCCGCCATATCTGAAAATTAGTTACCCAGGCAGCCACGCTGTTTCCATAATTTAACATTGACTTGACACTTCTTCTTGTATGATCTGTCTATCTTTACTGAGCTTATTTTATGTTATTTATTATTTATTCTACTACTGACAGTTGTTTAGAGAAAGTAAATCTAGAAGGAAATTGTGGAAGAATTTAAATTAACAGTGTCATTGCGATTTGTCGAAAAAAAACTGAAAAATAGTTGATTGTCTAGAGTGTTGTAGGTCTGGGTCAAAAATTGAGTGAAATAATGGAACAACTTTTCGCTAGTAAGTGACTATATAATATACATACGTGTAGTAAACCGATAATTTATTAAATTAAAATTATTATATATTATATTACTTAAAATTAACTAATTATGTCTTTTTTCTTGCATTTTTACTTTTATTTACTACTTGTCAAAGACTAGATGTCAAAGAATTTAGATACGTCAATTTGACTTACCTCCTTCAGTAGCGTATCGGATCTTATTAAATAATCATTAACTTATCTATTTTTATTAGAATTATATATTTTTATAACAATTTTAATAGTAAACTATCAAACATTTTTTATTCACAACGTAAAATAAAACAACAAATTATTGATTCTACCTCACGTCTACCCTACATCATATTTTTATACGTTTTGAATAAAATTTTGTTTCCGTTTGGGGGGTTAACGCAGAAGTGTTTATAAAAAATAACTATTTTATTTTGTAGATTTTCTTGCAGTGCAGTGGCGAAATATCCATTTTTTTGGGGGACTGTACGATGAGTTATAACTCAAGAAAGGGTGCTCAGTTACATTTAAAGAACTAGTGGTGTTTCTTAAAATAATTCCAACGTGCTTTAATACTTATAAACAAAAAAAAACTTTTTTTATGGAAAATATTTTTACAGTGCTCATTGATATTTGTAGTGCTTTTCCAAAAACTAATGGTGACTAAATTCTCTAGGTGTTCTTTTTCAAAATCGTAAAAGATTACCTTTTACAGGCAAAATTCACTTACGTCCAAATCTTCTGCACCGGGTATACCGAAAACGTTCATCGCGTCAAATTTCATTGATTCCACCCTCGAAAAACTACTGCCACCCCCGAAAACAACTTTTAGTTAGCCTTACCGGAAATACAGATGACAACCGTTTAAAACTGAAACTAGTGGCGCAATAACCACCCCAAAATAGGTAAAGCTTCAAGCGCAAACTCCGCTTAATAGACCGCCCTCGAAGGGGTGGAAAGAGCCGATCTTTGGTCAGAAAGGGTGGAGTTTGGCCTTGTTCCTTTGATCTGTGGGCAAATCACGTGGCACGCGAGGGAAAGATTAAAAAAGGGGGAAAACGTTTAGGGGAGAACTTAGGGATTTTTTTTGTGTTTATTGTCCGAATTTTTGATTTACTTCGTAGAAAAGGCTTGCTGCTTTTAGGGATTGCAAATTCACCGTTAAACGGTACTTTAAAATATGGATTTATTACCTGTTTACCGATATTTACCTATTTTACCGTCAGAACCAGTGAAAAGAAAAACATAAAAACAACCTTTGTCAATTTAAAACAGCATTTTCAAATATTTCCTCTAAACTCTTTTTGCTGAAAATATTGCATTTCTGTTTTGAATTGGTTGGCTTTTACTTTTTCTCTTATTGAAAGAAACATATTTTCCTTAATCGACAATAGAGTTTCTGCTGATGTTGAGGGAACCGGAGTATTTGCGTAATTCAACTTTGACCTTTTTAGAGACCGAGTTAGAATTAACGAATTCATCAATATCTTTAAGTTTACGTTCGAATTTTGGATTTTTAACTTTGAGATCTGTTGAAATAGTTGGAATATTTTTTTAAAATAAATTAAAATAGTTTGTTATTCTATCTATACTAATATATAAAATCCTTAAGTGACTGACATACTGATTAATCACGATCCTGCTCAAACCACTCAACGTAAGAAGCTTAATTTTGGCATACAGGTTGATTCTAGGGTGTAGAGGTTCGATAAGAAGGGATTTTTCGAAATTCCAACTCCAAGAGGGTGAAACCACCCCTCAAATATTACAATATTTTTTATTTAAAAAACGGTCAAGTTTTAAACACGTATATTTTATTTTGTTTTTTTTACATATTTTAAGATTTTTTAAAAATGTATACAGGGTGTTTCGAAAAATCTGGTCATTGATTAATCACGATCCTGCTTAAAGCGCTTGAAGTTAAAAGCTGATTTTTGGAAAACAGATTGACTTTAGGGTGTAGAGGTTCTATAAAAAGGGATTTCTCGAAACTCGAATTCTAAGGGGGTGAAACTATCACTCAAATATTAAAATATTGTTTATTTAAAAACCGGTGAGTTTTTCGGAAAAACTCTTAAACACGTATATTTTATTCTGTTGTTTTACATATTTTAAGATTTTTTATAAATTTATACAGGGTGTTTCATAAAATATGACCACTGAGTAATCACGATTCTGCTTAAACTGCTTGACGTTTAAAGCTGATTTTTGGTAAACGGATTGACTGTGGGGTGTAGAGGTTCGATAAGGAGGGGTTTCTCGAATCTCAAATTCCAAGAGGGTGAAAACGCCCCTCAAATATTACAATATTTGTTATTTAAAAACGGTTAGTCTTTTCGGGAAAACGCTTGGACAAGCATAATTTATTTGTTTTTTTTACAAATTTTGAAATTTTTTAAAAAGTCATACAGGGTGTTCCAAAAAGTTGGGTAATTTCTTAACCACGATTCTGCTTAAACTGCTTGACGTAAAAAGCTTATTTTTGGCAAACGGATTTTTCGAAAGTCAAATTCCAACGAGATGAAACTACTCCTCAAATATTATCAAGTTATATAATAATATCGCCATATTGTTTTTTCTCATGCTGACATAAATGTGAGAAAATTTTATCCAGTTTGTATGTTAATGGAAATTCTTGCTTTGCTTTATCATCACCATTACAAATGATTAATTCGACGCGAACGAAGTCGCTGGTACACGCTAGTAATCTAATAAACACTTATTTTGATAATGATACATTATTTTATGTAACTAAATTGATGAGTGGTATATTAAATTTTGACATCGAACAGAAATAGGATGTCATGATTTTTTTTTGAAAGTGGCAGTCAATGGTGATTTATGAAACAAAATACCTTTTTGGACTGATGTCTTTAATTTTAAACAAAAAAAAAGTTTTATCACAATAATTATTGTGAACTATGGTGATTTGAAAAAGGAGGAATGAGTAAACTCAAATCTACCATTTTTATACAAAATTAATAATTTATTTTTCCTAATAACTACAATTACAATAATTTACTAATAACTAACATTACAAAAACTATAGTTTTAAATAACTTTAATTTACACGTTAATTAAATTCATAATAACTACACTTTTTACTATATCAGGAGTTATTAATAATAATGTTGAAACACATGGGTGCGTGTCCCCACAAAAACACAAAATGGTGTGGATTAATGAAGAACAGGAGTTAAAGCAAGTGTTCATTTGTGCTACCGCGGATCAAAATCCCACGTTTGCTAGTAATCAAATTGCTGAGGTGGTTGCCCTGCCCACAATGCCCGTATTGTTGAAGAATATTTGAACAATACTTTTCCCAACCGTTTAATTAGTGGATATGGAACTATTTTGTGGCCCGCTAGATCACCAGATCTTTCTCCCAATGATTTCTTTTTGTGGGGTTATGTAAAATCCAAAGTGTATGGTCCATAATAGGGCTAATAATCTGGATGAGCTTCAAGTAAAAATACGAGAGGCTTTCCAAACTATTAGCCCTAATATGTTAGCCAATGTCGGACGGGGATTTTACGACCGCCTAGGCTTCTGTCTAGCACAAGAAGGTGGTCTTTTTGAACACTTGTTATAACTTTTTTTTATTTAGAGTAATTATTTTTTTTTGAGTTTAGAGAATTTATTTATTTTTAGTTTTCGCTTGTAAACACACTCCAATAATAAATATTTGAGTATTTTTATTTTAAATGTTACCTTAAGTAAAGGTAAACACTTAAAATGAAAATAATAAATACTCGGCACTCCTCGCGTCGTATTCCTAGTTCCTAGTCTGTCACGACCGACCCGTCCACAAGCACGTACTGCCTGACCAGCCGACTAGCCGGCAGTGAATCTCGAGAACGAACGCAAATCGGGTAAACGTAAATTCGTCCGGCAACTTGCTATGTTACTAGTAGCCTGGTCTTCTCTGTATAGTTCTTAATTTGACTTATTAACTAGTATTACATTTTTATTATAATTCAAGCACATATATTTATTTAATTCAAACATTTAACTATTTCAAACATAGCTACTTTGATAGACACCCCCTACAAGTTTACGGACTTCTGGGGTCTTTCAATTTATTTCTTGAGTTGGAATTTGAGTATTTTGTATTATTATGGAATTTAATTATTTTGTATTGATTGCAAATATAAATATTGTTTATGGAAATATTGTTCATGATATATTTCATATAAATTAAACTTTTAGTAAGGTAATCGAGGGCGCGATTTTTAAATTCAGTCTTGCCAACCATGGACAAATTCGGCGCCGTGCTGACTAACTGGAATTTAAATTTTGCGCTGGGGATTCAGGTGGTAGCTCTGCTGTAAAAGATGTCGAGTTACCCCATTTATTAATTTATTTCCTGACATTGTCATTCCTTTTGACACTTTAGTTTTTGGTTTAAATAGTGTTGTGACACTTGTTCTTTTAGTAGAACATTGTTCTTTTTAGACCCTCTTTTAGTGCGAAGTGTACAAGATAGCTTAATAGCCACAAAAAAATCATTGCAACTTTATTAGAATATTTTGAACGGGACAGCAATAGAAATGGCCATTTATGTCTCTTAAGTACTGCTAAGGAGGTGAGTTTCGTTCATGTAAATAATAACTGTTTATATATTTATAATTAATTTATTTTTGTTTTCTAAAATATTTTGATTGAAAGAAAATATATAAAAGTAGGCAACGCTGTGCCGGTCAAGCTTAATCACGTGACTAAAAGTTTATTTGGTATGAACTGTATGTAACATTGACACTAGCAGAGTCATGTGTTATGACAAATTATTATTATTACTAGTCTTACTATAATCTTCTTAAACGATAAGGATATATGCCATCTTTAAAATAATCTGAAGATTCATCGGGGTTCTCAGCAGTTAAAAAGTTATAATCACTCATTCCTTGGCTTCTGATATTATTATCTTTTATTGGATTCTGGCATATATACCGTTTTTTCTCGAAGCAAAAGTAATCATTCCAGCCTAATCTGATCCCATTCCATTTAAGTTCGACACAGTGTTCCCTTTGGTAAGCATTGCTGGGTTCACCAAACAACCAACCGTTTTCAACACTATCGCCCACTTTAATGCTTGTGCTATGCCAGTAGAAAATTCCATTGGGGTATCTTATTCCTGCTAGCCAATAGCCGGCTAAAAAAAAGCGAACGCAATTAATAAACCCGAATTTAAGTCGGTCATATTAACATATCATATTTTATTAAACTTTATTTAAACTGTCTAATTTAACAGCCGGCGGTATAGACGGTTTTACCGCTTCATAAAAAAATATGAATACCGCCGAACAACGAGGCAATTTTTAGGGTTCCGCACCCAAAGAGTAAAAACGGGAACCCTATTACTAAGACTTCGCTGTCCGTTCGTCCGTCCGTCTGTCACAAAGGTTATAGCTAGGCGTTATAGCTAGACAGTGGAAATTTTTACAGATAATCTATCTATGTTGTCGCTATAAGAACAAATACTAAAAACAGAATTAAATAAATGTTTATAAATAAAAAAGTACTTTCACTAAACATTATCTTTTAAGTAAGAATTTTACATACAATCTTTCAAGTCCTCGGTGGCCGCGTTGTTAAAGCGTTAGGACTTTACGCTGCTATGACGTTGGAGCCGTAGTAAGGCAGGTTCGAATCCTAGCCAAGGCGATTTTTTTTAATCGTTTTTTTTTAATTTTTACATATTTTTACATATTTATTTTTACTTTTTACATATTTATTATTGATTAATACAATTTTTAGTAATGGGTTTCTTCATTTTTTTTTAAATTACTAATAGGCGCATTCAAAATTTCAGTTAAATCGGAAAAAAAGTTTATAATAATATAGTGTCTAATATTCTATAGATAATGAATGGTACGGAACCCTTCGTGCGCGAGTCCAACTCGCACTTGACCAATTTTTAAGCAGGTACTGCTGTTGTTACCAAATATACAGGGTGTTTCAAAAAACATGTGCCATCTCTCGTAGGGAGATTCCTCACGTAAAAATAAGACTTATTTTTCATGTCAACATAGGTCCGATTCTGCTTTGCTTCGTAGCTACAGGGTGTTAAAGATTTAATATTTTTTCGATTTATTATAACTTTCTTCCAAGTACTTTTAGTGACTCGAATGAAATTTTGAAGGTAAAAGTTACTATAAGTCCTACATATTCTAATGCTAAAATAGAGTCGATTAATTTATCAGGGACGTGCATATGGATTGCCACTGAAATATTTTTCAAAAAAAAAATGTGCGCCACTGACTTGTTTTCTTTTGATATCAGAATTGTGTATTCCCTTTAATGCCAATTAAAACGTTATCTCTATCTCTTCCCCAATTAAAACGTTATCTCTTGATATTTTGCCGAATTCGGCCTCCTTAATGAGATAAACGCAATTTTATTAATCACAATTAATAAAATTAAAATACAAATAAAACTTTTAAATTATATATTTTTCCTAATTTATTATTAAATATTATTACTATTAGTTATTATTACTATCAGTCCAATCTAACAGCAATTTCAAATAAAATATTAATTACAAAAAAAACTAATTTTTAAAAGTTTTAACATCCTGTAACTCTAAAACTATGCATTTCTATAGCCACGTTTATAGGAACTTTTTTCATACTTTTTGTTGAGGAATCAATGTATACCTACCTATTTAATACTTTCGCAAGACTTGGATCAAAGCAAATTAAAAAAATTGCGTTTATCTCATCAAGGAGGCCGAAATCAACAAAATATCAAGAAACAACTTTTAATCGGCATTAAACTGCTTACATTATTTCGCTAACGAGAGAAAAAAAGTCAGTGGCATACATGCTTTTTTTAGAAAAAATATTCCAGTGATACACCATATGCACGTCCCTGGTGAATATTTCGACACTTTTTAGCGTTAAAATATGTGGCATTTATAGTAACTTTTACCCTCAAAATTGCATTCAAAACGCTAAAAGTACTTGGAAGAAAATTATAATAAATCGAAAAAATATTAAGACGGAAGATTAAGCAGAATCAGACCTATGTTGATATGAAAAATAAATCTTGTTTTTACGCGAGGAATCTCCACACGAGAGATGGCACATGCTTTTTTAAACACTCTGTATAAAGAATACATACATATACCGGGTGGTGCTGTTCAAATATCGGCTCCCCTGTTGAATTTACAGCAAAGTCGTATATATATTTTTTAAAGGTTTATGTATGGTAAATACACGTGCTAAATTTGAACAATTTTAGACTAGCCGATTTTGAGGAATTGGCATCTATTTCTATATTAAAACCGAACAGGTAACAATCAAACACCAGTCAAAAACTGACATATCTTAGGTGTAAAAACTATGATTTTGCCATTATCAAAAGTAATTTAATTTTAATAAAATTTTAATATTGAGGGGAAATTAACCGAAACATTTTCTTCAGGTGTATAACAATTAATTATTACTAGTACTGAATATTAAAATTAAGTTGTTTGAAAATGACGGTTACAACTTAAGGTATGTGGGTTTTTGACAGGATTATCAGGATACATTAAAATACGCAACCAACCGTCCAATCAGATGAAAGAGGTACGTACCCTATCGTTGGGTATTGTGCAATCACGTGATGCTCATGTCGTATGACGGTTAAATCTTTGGTTAGAATTTTTGTTGTTGTTTTTACCGAAGAGTTTTTACCTGTTTTTACAGTTTTTACTTTATTTTTCTATTTACATCAGATTTATATTTTGTAATTGCCTATCAGACAATACGTATTTAGAAAAATAATAAGAATTAGGATCGTGTTTTTTTTAAATCCTGGATATTAATTGGAACCCTTGGTAACATTACTGGTTTTGATATAAAAAGTGCATTTTTGATTATTTACTTGGGTTAGGATATTAAAATATCGGTTGGATTGTACGACATAAATAGATGTAGGTATGATTATTTATATATATGTATGTATTTATAATCTTACTATCTATATATTTATCTATATATTTATAGCTTACTATCTGTTTTGCATTTTCAGTTTTTGATCAGACATTTGATTTTATTTGTGAAATGCCCACAAAAAAGCTTCCAATGATTCAACATCAGTGTGTTTGCTGCATAATGGATCATTCCTGCTGAATTTTTAGATCATTTGAAGACTACACGGAAAAAACCAGATAATATGTTACATTTTCATAGAAATTGATAGCGAGACAATTTTATAGGCAAGTTTGAGCATTATTCGAGGCACCATCAAAGAAAGCAATAATAATATGCTTAGTCCCAGAGATATTACAGCTTAGTTATTTTGCCCTACAGGAGAAAAACCAGAGTAGTTCACTCGTAATTGCATTTTCTCGGCTCCAGTTAAAATGAACAAGCTGGTTTTTCCTGTGGTCTTCATTTGAAATAACGTAAATAAATGTTTATACATATGTATGTGATGATTAAATTGGTGTTAAGGAAATAAAAATGTCTTTCGATATTAATATATATTTTTCGATATTAATATATACCTAGGTATAGGTATATGTATATTTATTTTGAAATAAATTACACTTTTAACAGTTTAATGGAGTTTTTAAAGCCAGTTATAATATTTATATTTTAAAAACTTGAAATCATAATGTGGATGTAATCACGCATTAAACCACAGACTAACTTATATAAGTCAAAAAGTAGATTTTAGTGTTAACTTTATATAACTTGTAAGTAAAATAATATATAAAACAAATATGAAAAAACCAACAATTCTAATGTATATATTAAAATACAGTACAATAATAGGTATCTGATATCCTCACTTAACGTAGAATAATATTCTACCCAACTCAATACTATGTCCAACATGAGTTTCAAATATATCGGGCCCTAATCGTTCCTGAAAATAGTATTTTTTTACATTGTTATACCATATTCTAAACTATTTAATATTTCAGTCACTTAAAAAGTTAATTTGTATTGAATAATTGCCTACCATTAAAGCAAATTTGGACTAGTATTCTTAATGGGCATATTCTGTGTATGGATATAGGTACTTCCTCCAGATTTTGGGTTCAACCAATTTATTCTTAAAACCTGAAACATCTACATATAAAAAATAGACAGGTTACTAATTATAATAAAATTTACCCTTAGAATTATACTTCTTTAACAAATAATTTCCATTGGTATACTTTTCCATGACAAGTAATCAACTTCCTAACATTTTTTAATTGATGTAATACTTCCTCACGATGCGAAAAGAAAATCTTTTCTTTAGCACACAAAGGACAAACGATATGTTGGCTTACTTTCAGATTAGTTACTTTTCCATAGATATCCTCATGTCAATTCAAAGACGATGAACATGAAAATGATCATCACATGAAACATCACAAACTAAAAACCTAATAAACAAGTTTATATCGAATATAGAAATAAATTTAGTGTTCTTACCTATTGTCGTCCAAATCCACGTTAATAGATAATTAATTTTTTGGATTTTTATCTTTTATTTTTAAATATATCTTTCGAACTACTGGTTTTAGTAATTATTAAATTAAACGAACTAAAAAGTCAAAAATAATAAACAATTAATTCTCTTGTCAATTGTCAATTTTCTCCAGGTACCGAACATCATCGATAACGCACGATCTACAACGATTACTCCTTTGATCTGATTGGACGGTTCAATGACGGTTGGTTGCGTATTTTAATGTATCCTGTTTTTGACTGGTGTTTGATTGTTACCTGTTCAGTTTTAATTTAAAAATAGATGCATTTTTTCTCAAATTACTCAAAATCGGCTTGTCCAAAATGGTTTAAATTTGGCATGTGTGTTTACCAATAGTAGACCTTTAAAAAATCTATTTACGACTTCGCTATAAAATCAGTAAGGTAGTCAATATTTGAACAGTTCAAAATTTGCATAGGATTTCCTATGTTTTCAACGACGATGCACCACCCGGTATACACACTGCCATTACTCGCTGACGAAGATGGTCACGCAAGGCGTTTTCTTTCATGGGCTTTTCGGTGACTGAAAAGCCCGATACGTGATGTTATCTGCCTACCGTGTATAAAGAATACACTTTTTTAGAAAACAAAAATACCGCCCTTATTTTACCAAATTTTAATAAAAAAAAATTAAATAAATACTTCCTAGTCAAATTTTCGTTCTGAACGCAGCCATGACACTCTACATTTAAAATACTATTTTCTTTAAGGGAACATATCAAAATTTGACGTATGAAACGTCATTCTATTAAAACTGCTATGTTAGGGTGAGCCACTTTTGAGACGCACCCGGTATACTTACACCATATATCTGCTGGTATTTGATTGTTCTCCTCTAAAAATGTTTGAATAGCATCTCGTTCTTCATTAGACATAACGCTGACCAACTCTAAACCAGCGCCAATACAGGCTTTTGCAGCATCTGTCCAGTTCAACTACAAAAATAAATGATTTATGCCATTCGATTGGAAAAAACGGCGTGAAAGGCCGCTAGAGTGCATGACAATCGATGATGACTTAATTGATGAAAATGTTAATGATTTAATACTAAAATTGATTTTTGATTAAATAATATGATATCTTTTAAACCTCAGAGATAAATTATATTAGTGGCTGCTTTGCAGCAGAGTTAACTTTTTTTGATAATTGTTTAAACAACTTACTATCCGAAACAATAGTTATTTTTTTATACAAGACGATAAAATGGTATTTTATGAATTAATTTCGGGAGACGATAATGCAATTTTTTCGTCGTGTATAAAACAATATTTTATTCCATAGCGAGTTACGTTTTAAAAAATATTCAGAAATTATTATTTCAAGGAATTTATTACGAGTAGAAAAAATATTGTGTCGGATTGGCGTTGGCTTCTATGTAATTTGACAAATAAATAAAGCTGTCTCTTTAGTTGTCAGTTTTGAGTCAATATTATTTACACGGGGATGTCACTTGTATGGGAAAACAGGCAACAGTCAAATTTAAACGTGCCAGGACCAACGACAAAGAAAGCAACATCTGCTAGGCATTAGCTTTCTTTGTCACTCACATTGCTGTAATCATGATACTCGCGGCCATTTCTTGCAACAAGAGAAGCTGGCGGCTGTCCTGCAAGGATTTAAAAACAATGTTGCTGTTTTTCTACAAATAATTAATTACCATTTGGATGTTTTAGATTGTTGGCGAGTTGATTCAGTGTACATTGGTAAGAGGGAGAAATTACAACAACACAAAAATACTTAATTAACGTAAATACCCAGCTAAAGATGTAAACGTATTTTGTTATTTATTAGATTTCAAACTTCGCAAAGACCACCGATAGGAACTTGCCCTGGCAGCGTACCTGTTTAACAAAACGTATTATTTCCTGATAATAATATCAAAACCCGTAATGCGCTTTCATAAATTTATGAAGAAAAATGATTTTGATTATGTATTTTAGTATTATTTAAATACTCTTTCTAAACCTCAAATAATAGTAATATCCTTGTTTATATTCGCACAGCCGTTCAAAAATGTTTGTTGTGAAAAAAATGTTTACAATTACAAATTATAAAAACAATGTCCTTTTAATCTGATTTATACCTCAAAAGGATGCCAGTAAAATTTTTTATTAAGAGAGTGCAGAACGTTATAATTAATTGGCCATTAATATGCAAAGAGGAGCATATTGCCTTAAACTTAAATTTTCCTTTTCAACTGTCTCCTGACAATGTTCCCTTTCTATAGATTCTCTATTCTTGAGTTTAGTAAAGACTTTTGAACGGGAATGTGCGTATATAAATACATAATATTATTATTATTTTTGTTCTGAATACCGTAAAAGAAATTGTTTTTGATGCATTTGTTGGTTGTTTCAATGCCACGGTTTGGCTTGGTTTATGTTTTGCATTCAACTTATATTTATTTGTATAGGAACAGTTTTTTTGCCTTTGGAATGGCAAAATGCGATTGAGGCTAATAGGTGTTTCATTAGAGTCATTAAAGAGGAAATTTAAAGTTAAGCATATATTTTTTTGTCATATTAGTGTGTTATCATGATACAGGTAGTTGTATCATAGTGTCTTATGCATGTTATTTACCTATAATTATCTTTTATGTGTTATCAAGTAAATAGTTGATCAACAACTACTACTAACAATGTTTTTTTAATAGTATGTTTATCTTTACAATTCACTAGTTAACTTTAGCAAAATTTTGTATTTTGAAACTAATTTTAAGTCATTAATTTATATCATCTATTCTTTTTTAATTTAAAAAAAAAAATATTTCCGTTTTATTGTTTAAAAAAATATATAGTATTTTCAATATTTTTTTTTTTTTTTTTTTTTTTTTCCTTTAAAAAATAAATGAAATTGTATTACTAATAGTGAATTTTATTTACTTGAATTTATCTCTAAATAAGAAATAAGTTCTATTAATAATATTTGAATTTGCCTGTGTAAAGTTATAGAATATTTTTTAATCAGTAAATTATATTAAAGTAATAAAATATGTTTAGAGAGAGAGAGAGTCAGTGGATACTTAATAAAAATATTTTTTTTTAAATTTCCCCTCTTTTAAGCCCCGCCCCTCCAATTCCCCTCAACTTAGCTAGTACTGCCAGGCGACACCAGGTGGCGTCTGTTTCCATTTTTTAACATGAAGTTAGCATTTCTTTAATGTACCTATTCTCTGATTTTTTAATTCTATTTCGTGTCGATTGCAGCCAGAAATGGCTCAAAACGAAATAAGTAAATTACCAACAGATATTCAGGCTGAGGCGACAAACGCCATATCCAAACTACTTCCATTTAAATCCCGAATAACTTATGAAAAGGAATAACAAAAATTTTCAAAAATGGAAGCAATTAAAAAACGTGCGAGAAGTGTTAAAGTATTATTTAATCTACCCTTGCGGTTAAAGTATTATTTTTTCTACTATTTTTGATAGGTATAAGGCGATTTTAACAGTTACTATGGAAAAATAAATAAAATCTTACCGCTTCTGTGGACAACAAGTATGGACTGTTCAGCGTAGGCACAAAATCTACAACAAAAATAAACCTTAACATCAAAAAACTATTTTTTTAAAATTTAATTCAACTATATTTACCTGAAGTGCATAAATGACATAATATGGACAACAGAACGAAAAAGTTTGTCGAAGAGAAAAACATTTTGTTGAAGCTTTGTTGAAATAATGCGGTGTTTTGCGCGTGCATATTTTAAGAATAGAATATGGATTTGTTTACATAGCGGAAAAAGTGTTTACACCAAATTTAATTTAATTTTATGTTAAATCTATTAATAATTATGATTATTATTAAAGACATATCGTTAAGTTACTTCTTTTAAGATACTCTAACCACAGATAACATAATTTGATTATATGTTCTCTGTGCTCTAACGTATTTCTTTGTTCGGAAATATCCACCGTATAAGGTTTGCAGAAAACTTTATAGATATTAATAACAATATGTGAACTTTTTATAAAAATACGATACAGAGTGGCCCAGTATTCCCAAAGAGCTTTTAATCAGGTTGACTGACTGAATGACTGAACTGACTCATGTCAAAAAACTCCCAGATACCAATTTTCATCCAAATATTGACGTTACTTCAGAAATTATTTGGAAAAAATTGAACTAAAATTGAAACTTCTACACCCTGTATCTCCGAAACTAAGCATTTTAGGACATACTTTTTACACTTATACTTTTTTACTTATTTTTATCTGCAGAATATGCTGCCGAAGTTTCCGGAATATAGTTCGGACTACCCCGTATATCTGCTTACATTTTTATTCAATGATTTTCCTAGACATTTACATTTACTCTATTTTCTGTTGAATTTCTGTTCTTTAATGTATGTCACTGATTTGCAATGGACGTCTTCTTCTTCTTCCGGTCCTATATGCAATCTTGCACGTTGGGGATCATTTGTACACTATCTTCAATTAGTTAATTGAAGAGAGTGTCCAACGTTCCCTCACAGTCGTAAGGGTATTGTCTTCTGCCCGACGGAATATGGTTATCACGTCCGGTATCCCGCTCCAATCCTTGATGTTCCGGAGCCATAAGTGCTGTTTTCTTCCTTCTTCCTGAACCTCTTCGACCCTCGATTTTGCCCTGCCGGACTAGTTTCGGAATGGCGTGGCGAGTTCCTCTCAAAATGTGCCCCAAATATGACATTTTTCGAGTTTTTACTATATTAAGCAGTTATCTTTCGACACCAGCTTTCCGCAGGACTTTTTCGTTTGAAATGTAGTCGATATAAGAGATCTTAAATAGTGTGTGGATAGTCCACATCTCAGACGCTTCGATGCGATTTAGGGACTTTACTTTGATTAACCATGTTTCCGCACCATTTTAAGGTAGGTACTCAAATATAAGGTACGCAATGGACATCAATCCTTACAAATAACCTAGTGAGCTTCCAATTGCGGAAGGTGGCGAAATTCCAAGCCTAATTTATTTAAGAGTTAAGTTTCTGTATAATTTTTTTCTGTGATTTTTTTATGTTTTACTAACTATTCTTCAACACCGTGAGGACTGTGCTGCAGCTCAAAGACTATGGCCAGTGGTAGATAGCAAAAAGAATATAGATAGCAACTACTAGAATACAAAAGCAATAATTTAGTACCCATAATTGTAGGTGTCATCACGGTCCCACGGGGGTAAACCTCGTAAGAAGGAATTTTTCCAACGACGACAACTGCAGAGAATGCAGAGGAGAAGAAGAAACCATAGAGCACCTGCTGTACCACTGTCCGGCATTGGAATACTGGCTCTTAAGGTTTGGTACAATAATACAAGGGTATCGCAAACCCCAACAACCTAACCTAACGTTTTGCTAGTGGGGACGGAGATGAATCCATCAAATCAGAGATTATTAAAATCGGTCAAGCTGTTCTTGATTTATAAATGGTGTAACTAATCCGGCTCTGTTTTATTTATTTAAATTACTTTAGGATTACAGTTCAAGTAGGGAGAGAGAGAAAAAGAGAGTACGGTCAATACGCTCAGAACACTAAGATGTACTGATTAAAGAAAGAGAAGAACAAGTATTTTCCCAAATGCAAGTGGTTATGTAATAAACACTTCGCATTTTTTTTTTCGATTACTAAGGCCCGCGGTGCGACTGCTTTGAGACAAAAGTTGCAAATTGGTTGAACTTTCAACTGTTTTGCAACCTCGGTAACGTATAGTAATGTGAAGTCGCATACGAATCGATTCGAATGGAACTAGTTTGCAATTACTCACAAATCTGTTGTTCGCAACCATTTCCCGCGGACTTTAAAATTTCAGTTGCGTTGCAATTTAAAGTTGCCTGTTTTCAAGTGATTTCCACATGGTTGCAGTTAATATATTTCAAAATGGGTGATCAAGAACTGAACGTAAAATTTGTTGGAGAGGTTAAGAAACACGAAGAACTCCTCGGTATTCAAAGAAAGACGAGACAGATAAAGCATGTATCGATTGACCCAATGAAGACAGTGCTACACTAACTGATTGAAAACTGATCCAGAATGGGTTGCATCCGTGTGCGTGCAGCAGTTTGTGGGGGTCAATGTGTAACTTTACGGTTGCCATAAACAACTGTGCCATAGAAAACATTCTCAGGTTATAGTGGATCTTGCTAGACCACTATTATTTTCCAGATCTAGCTCCCATGTTGTGGCCGGCCGTGGATCCAGGTGTATATGACGACAAACCGTGTTATCGTGGAACATTGATGATACAGACATGCGAGAGGTCGTCAAAGCTCTGTATAGAGCATGGCACTGAGAGAAGAAGCTCCCATTGACTTTTTTTTATTGTCCAAGCTGAAAGATGCGCTATAGGAGCACAAAGATTTTCGTCGAACGATGAGGTCGTAACCTTCAACAAGCAACTAGTCTGAGCGCAACTACTAAAGACGCCAACAACTATTTTGACGGGCTCATAGACCTTGTAGAAGAGTAAAAATATGTTTTTCCAAAAAATGTTCTTTATTATTGTGAGATTCAAAACCTGTCAGAGTACATTCATATTGGTATAATTATATAGACTATACTAAGAAAAAAACAGAAAATAGAATACCGTAAAAGCGGAGAGCACAAATGTGTATTAATTCTCTAAGTAATGATATTCTACGATTAACTAATAATTTTAGTTTTCTTTAGATAAATAAATCCCACTGCGCTATTAATACATTTCCATTGCTAACTAAAAATTGTGATATACTGTCGACGAATTATTTATAAATAAAAATGAAATTCTGCATAATCTTTAATATATTTATTTTCTATTCTCTTCTTGAAATTCTTATATTTTCGTTATTTAGTTTTGCAGAAATTATTATTAATTATTATTTACCAAAATTCGCAGAAATAATTACTGTTATGCATCATACAGAGCGACTCACTGTTCTAGAAAAGCTCCACCAGTTTCCTGTTTAAGATTTTACCAATTTTATTGAAAAAATATGTAAAGTTATGTACTAAGGCTGGCTACAACTTTTTATTTTTAATCTAAGTCTGCAACGATGTCCCGTAATCCTACTGTTAAAACATAACAGCTGGTTTTTATATATATAACTATGTATTTTAAGGTTTGGTTTTGTCCCATTTTGATTGAAATCATACGGTATCTCCGTTATTAGTAAACAGGGGTGGATGGGCCATATGGGAAAACGGGAAAATTCTCGGTGGGCCGGTGGAAAAATGGGCCGGTGGGCCGGTCCCGATCAGAGCTCAAAAAAGATTGGATTAGTAAAAATTAAATGGTTAATCTTCTAACCGAAGTGACGTAAGATCCTTAGTGACTCCATAACTATTATAACTAATCAATTTTCATCAGTATAATCGTCAGTAAAACATAAACATCAATTTGTAAAATAACTATTGTAAAATGTCTTTCTCTGGGATACTTATAATTTTATAATCATCTGTTGTTTGTTCGGTTTGAAAATTTTTATTATACAAGGTGAGTCTATAAGTGCAAATATTTTCAGGGGTGGTAGATCTCAATAAAATAAACATAATATATTTTCTTTATCGAGTTTCAAATAAGTCCAACCGAGTTATTAAAGTTTGTAAATTTAAAAAAAATAGATTTTTAAAAAAAAATTGAGCCACGTCAATTTTTCGGTATTTGCATCTCTTTTAGTGCCGTAATATCAGAGATTAAGAAACTATACCGTGGGAAAATTTGCGGTGAGCAGGAAGTTTTCTAAAATATACAGAAAAATTTAAAAGGAAATGCTCGATTTTTAACATATTTTTTTGCAAAAAAAACTCATATACGTGTTCCTGGGGTCGAAATATACCACCCCTGAAAATATTTGCACTTATTTAACTTTCACCCTGTATAGTTTTACCCAATATTCTTTTATTAATAACTAATAAATATGACTGACTGGTAGCAAAAAAATAATGAATAGCATTAGGTAAATTTAAATAGTCTCGATCTAAATGGATACACTGAGAAAACACCTTATTTATAATGCACTAAACTTATTAACATTTAATAAATGGTTGATTGAAATAGCGCGGAATAAAATTTTATTATTGAGAAACAATTGATCAATTAAAACTATTTAAATATACCTCTATTAGTAGCAAACTGTAAATTATTAATATTTCATATATATTTTATTTAGGTTAAATAATGGTTTGTTAAGTATAAATAAAGTATTATTTATATTAACCATGGTAATTATTTACTATAAATAATGATACTGATTAAAAATTATATTATTTATTTGCGATTAGAAAACAAATTTTGTAAATAATATGCAATTTATTTATAAAAAATAAAGGTTTGCTTATTATAAAAAATGTATTATTACGCATACCTAATTTATTATTTATAATAAATTTTTGTTTGTTAATTATAAAAAAGAAAAAATAATTATGCGTTAGGTAAAAAATTAATAATTAATAAACTTATTTAATATTAATATGACAGAATTTGTCACAAATAACGATATTAATTGAATTGTTAATAATTACTATTATTTTTATTAAATAAAAGGCGATTCAAAAAGCTCGCCGGTTTAGAATCGCCCACCATTTTGTTGTTTGTTGCTTAGCAACACTGTTTTGTATAAAGTGTGCTTAACTCTAGTCAATATTTCGAAACCAATGATTTGACTTAACCCCAAAGTATTATATTAAAAAAATATATAAAATCGGAATATTCACAGATGATGCTAACATTAGGTAGATATACAAAACAGTGTTTCTAAGCAACAAACAACAAAATGGTTGGCGATTCAAAACCGGCGCGCTTTTTGAACCACCCTTTATAAAAATATTAGTAGGAAGCAAGGAAACGGCACTACAGGTAGTCCAAATTGTCTGTAGCAACAATTATTAGACACCTTGTATACCAGAGGCAAAGGAGTCTTAAATATTAGAAATTCTGAAGAAAACAAAACTACAATATTTTCTTTCAATCAAATTTTAATACATAAAAAACATTTAAATAAAAAAACAAAATTCAAAGACAGAACTTGTACAAATGTTTACATTAATAACATTAAAGGTAAAAACAAATACCTTAATATAACCGAGCATATAACATTGAACTAAAATATGACATTCTCATTAATAACAAAATAGCAAAAAATTATAAAACAACTAAAAATAATATTTTCTCAGCAACTAACTTTAAATTTATACCCACAGACAGCCAAACAAGAAATTCACGTTAATATCGCTAAAGATGGTTTAAAATGTAGCTTAATTTAATAACTAAAAAATATGTTAAACTGGTAAATTATAGACATTTTAAACCTCTTTATCGATTCGGGTGGAATGTATGCATGCTCTGCATTCTCACACGGCAGCGATCGGGAATTTAAACTGAGAGGATGTGAAAGACCTTTAATAAACTAATTTTCCGGGAACGGTAAAAATTGAGAATCTTAATTTTGATTGTGAACCTAAAAATAGATAACTATAGTTCTTGATTCATACAGGATATGTATCGATTCCCATTGCCACATGTATGCATATGTGTCAGGAAAGGCCAATAAACATCATTTAAGTCGATAGCAAGTATCTGTGGTAAAATATGTTCAACCTGGTAAGCTTCATAATGTTTGTCAATACCATAACAAACAATCTTTTTATAAATAAGGTACGTCTGTTGTTTCTCATTATGAATTATATTTTCAATTAATGCAAACAATGGCTCCCCAAAAAAATCACGCCTAATCTGGAAAACTAACCCTTTTTTATATGTAATTCCGTTTACTTTAATCCATTTTACGAAAAAATAGTCTTCAATGTTTGCTATAATACGCTCATAAAGTTGTATTTCGAGCATACTTAGCGGAGATATATTATAGGTACTTATCTCGACATTATCAACAAATCCCCGATTTATAAGTAATCTATAGGATAGTTTTAATTGATGTTTAAGAGCTAAGGTATAAGGAAGATTTACTCGTGAAGAGACTACATTACAGTTAGACTTGCTTATTTTGTGAAAGGCTTCATACCGAATTGAAGAAAGTTTTGATAAGGGTCCAACGTTGTTGATAACTCTTGAATAATGAGTCAAAAAATGAAATTTAGGTGTCAAATGTCCACGAAAAAGAGAAATATAAAGTTGATGATGTTCATTAACTAAACACTGTAAGTAAATTAGCTCACTTTTATTAATTCTATTTTTTGATACAATATGGACAATATTAAAAAGTAATTTAAAAAAATGCCATGTTTCGTCCATCGTGTCAACTAAATCACCAATCATCAGGGGAAAGTAAGTGACAAGGGCATGCATTTCTGCTGATGACATTATAATTAATTCATTTTCTACATGATTTAAAGGAATTGGTGGTACCTTATTACCAATATCAACGTCCGCATGATTAAAGTATTTTATACGATTATTAAGTATGTTAATAGTAAAATATTTTTTTTCAAATATTAAATCTTTCAGTATTTTACCAAAATCATATCGACAAACACCTTCGTATAAGTCGTGCATCAGGTCAAAGTGTATATTCTCAGTATTGTGAAAATAAGATAAGTCGTTCCACACACAATAATCTTTAACGCCGTGAGTTTTTTCTTGTAGATGCATATCATAGTTATATTTATCCCTAAGCGTATTTAAATCTTCTACAGCCATATTTTTTGTAGCGCTTTTGTGAGAAAAACAAGCACGACAAAAATAGTTAGAAGAAAAACTCTCAGTCATGCCAATAATTGAACTTATGCCTAAATTATCTCCTAACAATAATGGCACAACAAAATATATTTTTTGTCCATTAATTGTAATTCCTTTGGATTCTAGAAACTTTAGTTCATCTATAAAAGGTCTAAATATTTCTGCGTTAGAAAAAAACGCCTTGTCAGAAGAATAAATCAGGCCCCATAAAAAAATATTTTCTAGCCGTGACGCATATTTTTGTTCTAGAGCTGCAAAAGAAATATATATCCCACCTAGCTTGTGAACCCCTGCTTGAGTTCCTAATGGATTTCCCGTTTCAAAATCATCATAGTACATATATAATGGTAAAATTACTTTACCTTTAAATTTAGTCTTAATTGATCTCCACAAACTACTGTTAAATAAACTGGATATGTGATCTGAATTAGCTTCTTCGGTTCTGATGTATTCTAGCATATGCTCTAGAACGTTGGGAATTAGTAATAATTTTTGAAGCACGATCCTCAGTGGAATAATTTGTCCTTCACATTTTTTAATATTCAAAATAGAGGAAGTAGCAGAAGAACTTTTATTATCAAATATATTACCAATATAAAAGGATTTAGGTTTAATGAGAACATCATGTTTTTCCATGAGCAGAAATCGTTTGTATTCTGAGTTTGTGGATAAAAATAAATCAGATGATAGAATAGAAATTAATTCTTTGTAATCAATGTCATTTGAACAACTAATTGATGAAGAATTCAACTTTGCAAGTAAGTTGGAAAAAATACCTGATACTAATTCAGAAGTATTAGTTAATAATTCTTGCACTATTGAACGGTTAATTGTGTTGTTATTATATAATCTACTAGTAAATTTTAATATTTGCAATTCAATCATATTTCGAACATTTTTAGGTGAATTTTCATTTGGCTCTCTATTTACGTCATCGATATGTCTACTAATGTTACTACTAAAGGGCTGGGTATTTAGCTTTGGCTGAAAAGTATCGCGTTCTGTTACCGGTACATCCAACTGGTGAAAAATACTGTCATCGTGAAAAGTTAGTATATGTTTTTTGAGGGAACATAAAGAACTGAAAATTCTAGTGCATTTGGAATAGCAACAAGAAAATGAATTTAAAAATCTATGAGTGGCTGTCATGTGAGCAAAAAAACTTTGGTTTTTAACAAAAATTTTTAAGCAATGTTTGCACTTCATTGCTTAGTTGAGATTCTTTTGATTTAATCCGAAGACTTAATCTTGTTCACTATATCTAGAATATTTGGTATTTTGTCATAGACTGTTTTCAAATTATAAATTCCCAATTGTATAAACATCCACACATGTTCACACTCATAGGGATATTTTAAATTTAATGTATGCATCAGTTGAAAACAAATATCTACAGCCTTTAAAACTGACACTACTCTATACATGATACTATCGTAACTTACATAAATTTGGTTTATATCTGTATAGGAAGCACCCTCGATTATAACAAATGGCAGTAATGGCAAACCATATTTGACCAACTTCTTGCGCTTTTCGTCAATTATATTAGGGATGTCTCCTGGAATCTAAATTAAAATGCAAATTAATAATAAGTATTTCCGTAGTAACCTGCACAAAAAAATTTAATAAAGGAAAATATTTCGATTTAGGTTCCAGTTTAACTTAAAAAACAAAGAACAAAATAAAAAAGTCCAAAATCTAAAATAGAGAGATTGTTGACAAGTTATTATAGCTACTCTCTTTAATTTTTTCACATATTAAATAATTCGACATAAAAGAATTTGCATATACCTAAAGACTTCGAAAACTAAAACACATTTCGTGTAAAATGATCTACACACAAAGTGTGACCTTGCATTCATAGGCATCTACTTACCTTAACTTGAATAACTATTCCACTGATTATTTCAGTTGATGTTGGATACCAGCTATTTTTTCCTTTTTTATTATAGGTCTTGGTTGGTAGTAAAGCTGGTAATAGCATTAGCATCAAATAGTGACGACTATCTGAAAAACAAAATATAATGAAGAAGTATGTAAAGAGAAAGTTTAAGCAATTAGGAACACTATACAGGGAGGTTGTAAAGTAAGGAATAAATTCAATATCTCGTAAAGCTCAATATCTCTGTAGCAGTAATTAGTAGTATTCATGATTGCCCTTACCGTTATTTATAGTGTTGCTCTTAATGATATCCACTATTAGGGAATCACTTTGATTTAAACTTTTTTTCTTCAGTTCCAACAGTTTATTAAAAACTGTTTCAAAATTATTATACAATAGGTTGTGGCTTGGAAATCTTTTTTCAAAATCAATGTCTATCAACCTATGCCCTAAAGGATTTTGTATGATAGGAAATACGGCCAAAATTTCTTGAAGATTTTCGTGACGCATGTACAACCTTTGTCTATATTCATATGTGGCATTCCATTTAGAAACTACATCGGACCATGGCTCTTGATTATTTTTGAGCCACGTAATGATTTCATCGTGGTCACCTATAAAAAATTAAAAAGCGTGAAAAACATTTGACGTTTTAAAATGACATTATTCAGCGTATAACAACAAATTTAGGTAATAGATGTTTATTCACTATTGATTTAATTTGTTTTAACTCACTCTCCAAATTTTTAATCAATTTTAAATGCAATTTACTTCGTGGATTTTTTCTTCAAACGGGGTAAAGTTTTGTAGACAGGGGTGTTCTAACCCCTCTGACAAAATGAAAGGGGTGAATTCTCATTTAATTTTAAGACGAAAATGTCGAATAATTTTTTTTCGTAAGTCGCTTAGTTTTCAAAATACAGGGTTTTAAAAATTAATTTTAAAATTGGTTTTTTATTCCTATTTTAGGAATTGGGTAACCAATTTTGTTGAAATTTGGTAACATTATGTGTATTGATAAGAGGCTTATTTAGCCATAAACAGATAAAAATTGTCCAAACTACAATGGCGTCCCGAGAGGCACCCTAACCAACATAATTGAGAAAAAAATATACGCCACTGACTTTCTTAAATCTTCATTATTTTTTTTATTAAGTAACTAAAATAACAACTTCTTTATCTCTTGACTTTTTCCGTATCCTAAAATAGGAATAAAAAACCAATTTAAAAATTAATTTTTAACACCCTGTATTTTGAAAACTAAGGTACTTACGAAAAAATTTTATTCTACATTTTCGTCTTAATATTAAGTGAGGATTCACCCCTTTCATTTTGTCAGAGAGGTTAGGAAACACCCTGTATACGAGTTAAAAAATGTTTATTAATTCGCGGAAATTAGCTCACTTGCCCTACATCAGCTAAATTTTCTGCTTATAAACATTCATTTAACTGATTTTTATGACACACTTTAACCCAATTTCTACAAAAACAAAATAGCATCCTATAATTGAGGGATATTAAAGAGTAAAGACATGTTAACTGTAAAACAAATCAAAACTAAAATAGATTTTTATAAATAAGTAATACACTAGCCGCAAAAAATTGTGATGTATATTTTGTATTGAACCTAAACAAATTAGTGAGTCGATTATATTAATAAGATATTTTGAAGTAATAAGTAGTAATAAGATAATATATGAAGAAATTTTTTTGAAATACATACATATCTTTCAGTTTTCTCAGTTAGTGTTTGTTTCTCTACATTATGTTTTCGATTATATTACATACTTACCATTGTAATCAAAATTTTCTGAGGCATCTGTAGTATCGTCATTGACCTCTAATGAACTTCTGGATGATAAGAGAATACCGGAATCTCTTAGGAAGGTTAATCTATTCCTATATTTATCTACCAATTTTCCCCTGGCAATACCAGTTTTTTGGTCCCGTGAATTCCTTTTCCTTATTGGGGAAGTGAAATAGACTTGAGGTAGTTCGTTTGGAAATTCTTCAACAATGAGTTTTGATATTTTTCGAAAGTCTTCGTTAGTTAGTCTTCTGTAATAAAAAAAAAACTGTAAAAAAACTAATGTGTCTTTAAAAAACAAAACAATAGTCTTACCTAAATGGTACAGCATTAATAAAGTGCTGAACGATTATTTCAACTAAATATGATTGACATTTACTACTTAGAGTTTTTTTTGCTTTGTACAGCGCCTTTACAGCTCTTCCCATAGACGTAGCATCCAATAGTTGAGAAATATTAAAATTCAAAATCACTTCATTGATACCATTTGCCGGTTCAACTAGTGTAGTGGTTGAGGTTGAAGCTATTGATAAATCGGAGCAAGGTTTATTTTGAAGCGATAAGTCGTCATCCATTAGCAAGAATTGTACATTTTGTATATTAGGTGCAACTGGCATAGGCTGGTTATCGACATCTAGGACAAATACTTTATTTGCACCTGGTTCTTCTGATATTTCTTCATTATTTTCTTCACTGTTAATTCTAAAAATAAGAAAAGAATAACACTATATAACAAAAATTTAATCAATTTTATTTGTTAATTATTAAGCTCAGGCTAATCCAACGTGATTGTTTAAAATAAACACCAGCTACCCATAAGTAAAATTAAAAAAGCCATAGAGACTTACATTTGACTTTGGTTATGTTCTAAATTAATGCCATCCAATTTTGCCTTCAATTTGATTCGTTGCCCCAATTGAGGAATAAATTCCTTACATTCATTAGCATCACCAACAATCTGTTTTAATGTTTGCAAGCTATCCACGCCATTTGCTGCAAACATAATAATTTTAGTATTAAAAATAAGTACTTAAGTAATATGTATAATTATGAATATTAACCATTTAATTAATGCCATTCATACAGAATATCCACAAAGTTATTGATAATTTATTTTATGCTTAGCTAACAAATATATTAATAGAAATACATGCCTATTTACTATAAGCAAATTTATTTATTTATTAATACTTGAAAAAATTGTAATATGGAGACAAGGGTGGATGCAATCTAAAAACTCTAAAAATATTAAGTATTTGAAAATTCACAACAGAATTGCCCAATCAATAGGTATGCATCCATCAACTTAATCAAAATCTCGTTGAGCTGTTTGTACCTACCTACCAGGCAGCAGCAGCAGTTTAAAATGATCAAAAATCTAAAATATTCTTTACTTTGAAGAACTGATTCACCGCCTGTCATTTGGGTCCAACTCATAAACTATCCGCGTCATTTTTTTTTGGAGATTTTTAAGGCTTTCAATCTGTTATTTACTATTAATAAATTTGCTTAACAGAACCCAATATTATTAATTTTAAATTACAGTTTACGTTTAGCTAACAAATATATTTATAAAAATGCAAGCATATTTGCTGTTAAGTTTAGTTTATTTATTATTAATTAAACGTAAATTAGGTACTTTAGGACGCTTCGATTTAGCAATACAATTTAAAGTAATAAGATAAATATAATCATTTTAACTAACAAAGTAATCACATATAATTAACTTTTTTAACTTAGCTGTATGAATCAAATTAACAGCATTTAGCTGTGAAACTTATATCGAAATAGCTAATAGTCCTACTTACCTCGACAAGCATCAATTATAAAATGGAAGCCATTTTCATCAAGAAATGTTTCCAGATCATTTTGATCTTCGTCTTCCATGTCTATTATAACCCTACCCAAAACTTACTAAAACCCAAAACAGTATAAGATATGATATCACAGCGACACGCACAGAACGACGAGATCACAGAATATACTACGAAGACGAGATGGCTGAGATGCAAATTATGCCAATGGCCGATGTAAGATAAGATTATGATAAGATATAAAAACAAAAACCAAAAACTTAATACCACCCACGCACGGCGCGGCCGGTCGAACTGCAACGTGCTTTCTGGTGCTTTTAAACAGTTTTAAACGTGCTTAAAACTTAAAACGTGCTGCAACGACGACACCTGTAGCAGAGTAAATAAGACACACTGACACAGTGAGGGCCGGCGCGGGCGGCGCGGCGGTTGATTTGTTTTTAAATAACAAATAGGTATTTTAATTATTAATATATTTGTTATTTAAAAACAACTTACGCTCGTATCTGATAACAAACTCATTTATTTTATAAAAAATAATGTGGAGTACACCAAATGCAGATATTTATTAACTATTAATATAAATTGATTTAAAATTAATAAAATTAAAATTAATAGTAAAAAAATATTTTGGTAATATAATTTAATAACGAAATTATTAGGATTAAATTTGTATCATTAGTTATAAAATTATGACCGCCAAACAAAGCATTTGTTTTTAATTAAAACTGATTTTTCTATAAATTATTAATAGTGAATAATTTTTTTTTATAGAAAACTTGTTATATTTTTTGTTAGTAAAAACCATCCAAATAATTATATGTTAATTAATAACCTCATTATTTTTCTCAGTGTACTAAGAATACGGTAGCGTAGATTGACAACTTGGGGCCTCGGGTCTCGGTGCAATATTTTTCGAGCTCCCCTTTCTAAGAAGGTAGACGAATTTGACGCGAACTCTGCGGTTGACGGAGAAAACATATCTATGCTTGGCTTGAATTGGGGACGGACTAAAAGCCAAGTCTGAGAACTAAAGCCAAGTCTAAATTGTTGTTTAAAATGTTGCTAAAATGAATTTTCTAAAAATTACTGAGACAGCAGAGAAGAGTTAAATAAGGTTTTTTTACACCATGTTTAAACTAGAAATATTAATATGTCTCGAAAATCCAAATATTCTTATTATGGACTGTAACATAACATTACATCAGAACACATTTATATCCACTGCCTAGGTATTGCCTAGGTTTTTTTCGTTTGAGTCATGGAATACAAGATGCCAAATACACAAAAGTATAGAGGAAAAGTTTCGTGATAAGAACTATACAGGGTGTCCCAGAAATAAGTGCAAGTATATTAAGTGGTGGTAGATCTCGATAAACCAAACATATATTCTCTTCATCGTTTTTCAAATAAGTCCAAAATAACAGAGTTATTTTACTTTGAAAATTTACAAAAAAAAAATTGTTTGCTCAAAATTTCTTTTCTGGATTTTCTTTCTTGTAAAACCGATGTTGCCATATTATCAAGAAATTCTGTTTTTTAACTAAAAACTAAAAAAAAATTCCAAAACATTTTTAAAAAAATTCCGAATTTTCAAAAGTTTTCTTTGCGAAAAAAACCTCATAGGCGTACATGTATTAATAAATAAAATATGTTTCTTCGTTATGGTCATTTTGTTTTTGTGGATTTGGGCCGGTTGTCTGTTTTTCCCGGGCCGGTTTCCACTTCCCCATCCACCCCTGTTAGTGAATATAGAAGGGTGCGGTTTGCACAAACTTCTCTCACTTTTTTGCCCAACGGAAAATACCGTAAACAATGACCGTAAACAAAATTTTCATAGGCCTCTTCGTTTCTGAGGTATTTTCGAAAATTTTCCAATTTGGGACACTCCCCATATCTCTGTTATTGTTAGAGATATCGATAAGGTGAAAGCCATTTATTGTAGAACTTTTTACGTAAAATACAGTGGCGTAGTCTGTTATTCTACGAAAAAAATTGACTATGCCACTATTCTACGTAAAAAGTTATACAAAAATCAATTTTCACCTTCTCGATATCATCCATAATAACGGAGATACGGGGGCTGTTCCAAATTGCAAATTTTTTGAAAAGATCCTGTAGCTCAGAAAAGAAGAGAGTTATGAAAACCTCTGTAGAGGTGTAGAGAGATACACTCTGACAGACTCTGTAGAGAGATTTTTAGGTTAAGTGCTAAAGTAACCGTCAATATTAAAATAGCACAAGCTGTATGACGTAATAACCCATACAGCACGTCCAAATGAAATTACGTTTCTACAAGGGAGACACATGACAAACCAAATATGTTCAAGTGAACCTAAGTGTTCATCTAGTTCTAACATATACATATGGAATACACGCAGGTTTATATTGATATAATTGTGTGATACAGTGTTTACTAGTTGTATACCGTATGCACTCAAGATTCTAAAGAGTTTTTTGTAACGTAACAAATAATTATTAAAATGATGAAATCTGACGTCGGTATATGAGACATACAATGTATAAGTCATATTTATGTGTGATACTTCGTATCATAGTTGTGCCTATAGTACACACCTTGTAAAAATATGACGTATACACATAATATAAATATCTATATAGACACTTTGTAATAGTGTACTGTTGTGTCTACATTCTAGCATGAAATGAAGGTGTGCGCATGCGCGGATAGCCTCAGCGTAGATACACCGACCAAGTGTATCTTATGTGTCCCTCTCCTTTCTCCTTTCTAGGAGTGGTATGTGTTAGCAGCCATTATTGTTTTATCATTCGGAAGCTCTATATAAATGTTCTGTTTGTGTGTAGTTTAAAAGAGATTTTAAGGTAAGCACAAGTTTTTAATTATATACCTTGTTACACCTTCCTAAGAGTATTATTAATATTATAGCAGCGACTCTTATTCCCTTACTCGATACCCAATTTACCAAATTTTGACTTCAATGAATGAAAACTCCAAATATTCTCGTATAATGATAAAGAGGTTAGCTCTGCAATATAATTTTTTTAATTTGGAAATAATAAAAATCTAAATGGACCAGAGAAAGAAAGATTTAAACATTTCAAAGAACTTCTTACACTGATATTCGGTAAGTTATTGATGGATCAATATACAGGTATGTTTAATATTCAATAATCAGTGTCATATAAAATTTAAGGGTGAGATTGTCAATCTGAGATTGTTAATCTCGATGAATGAGTATGCTAACAAACCAACTGCTTGGAGGGAAAAGAAGAGAAAAAAATGACTAAAGGAGGTCCACCAAATCGTGACGATATACCAGTGTTTACCATTTTAGTATGTTGTTATACTAGGTACTTATATTTTTAATACATTTTTATACAAATTCTGTTCTTTTACAGTGTTTTCTTACTTCCGGTTTCTGCAGTGTAAATAATTATTATTATTTTGTTATTTGCGCTATTGCGTTCCATGATATAAAGAAATATAAGAATTTTATTTTTAACCACTTAATCCATTTTATGGAAAAAAATGGTACATTTAATACGAAACAAAAATGGAACAATTTTAAGGCTACTTCTCTTGAACTTACGATCGAGATACTTTTAGAAAATACAAAGTTTTGCCTTCCTAATTTTCGTTCTAGAAAGATATAATTGGTATCATTGAATAAATATTTCTTAAAAAGAACGAAAAGTTAGGCATCAAAACTTGTATTATTTCCTAAATTCGTTCATAAGAAGTAGTTTTATCTAGCACAAGATGTATATACGAAGCAAAATACATACGTATACACGCAGAGTCACAACTGCAATGTGTAAACAGAGTTTAAACGTAATACACAAGCACTGTGTATCCTACGGCACACTGTGTATCCCTTACTTTGTGTATACGTAAATGCTATACTGTGGCTACATTGTGAGGCGGACGTTTAACCTTTGTGCATACGTGTTGAACTACAATGTGTAAACGTAGCATATTTACATCGGGGGAATTGTGCCACCCTGTGTCTACATCTAATAATGTAAACACATCGTAAATGTGATTTGATGTGCTGTATGGGAACAAAAGGGGTTATAGTAATCAAGTTAAATGTATATCTACATAGCATAGAAAATATTAGTCTCGCATATTTTAATTAATAATTTTAGCGGTGTTTCTCTAGGAGCAATGAACAATCAATTATTGAAAGATTAAGAATATAATCAATCAATATTGTGTAAACATTTCCTCGCTATAAAACAAACAAATCCATGTTAAACTATTTAAATATAAATGTGCGAAACAGTGTGGAATACTTTTACTTACTACTACAAAATGTTCCCAGAAGTCATCTTAGTGCTGTCGATTTTCAGTGGTTTATGTACTTCAGGTAAATACAGAGTAAAGTCAAATTTAAAATATTTATTTTAAAATAATAATATTTGTATAATTTAAATTATTAAATTTTCAAAAATATTATAAAACTATTATCAATATCAAGACTTATTTTTTTATTTCACCGCGCATTTTTTTTATTTTTTATGTGAACCACACCAAAGAAATATTTTTTAATCATTAGATGATAATTTAATCATATACAATATTTTTTTTAATTTATAATATTTATTTTTATTTTTGATTATTAATTTCTGTTTCGTTTTGTTTTAGATTTTGTGTCTACACCAAACCAGAATTACTTTTTGTCCATAGAATCCGTAAGTAACATTTTATATATTATTTTACAGAATAAATTAAACAAAAAAAATAAAAATATTTCTAAAATGATATAAATCTATAGTAATGTAAAGTAGATATTTTATCTCAAAATTTTCAAATGATATACAGGGTGGCCCACGAGTGCGAGGTAGTCCATGAGATTTATTTTATTGGTTAATAAAGATGCACATCCTAAAAATATTGCGTTTTATACAGAGTGTCCCAAATAAAAGTAACGATAAAGTAGTAAGATTTTTTAAATTGTAACCCCCATTTTTCTGTCGACAATATAAAATTGTGCATATGGTACACTATTTTTATTTGCAGGACTATGCGGTGTTGCCATGATATTTTTACTGGTTAATAAATTTGGGTTTAAAACAGTGTATTCGAAAAGGTGACTCAAAAAAGTGTCAGTGAATCAGGATGATTTTTTTAAATGGAACACCCTGTATATTACTGCATTTTAGGCTTCGTTTCAGATCACTTTACATAGTCCTAAGATATGAGTAAATATATTTCGATAGTCTCAGAGATTTTAATAAATCAATAAAAAATATATTTTGTCAACCTTCCTTAATAAAATTATTACAAATACAAGAACTGTCCTGAAATTAAAGCTATATTAGTTATTTACTTTAGATGGTTTATACTTACTTTGCTATAAATATCGTAATCTTAAATCATACAAGGTGTTCAAAATTCTAAGCCAAACTTTCTAAAATGTAAATTTTTGTTTTTGTTTTTTTTAATGGAACACCCTGTATATTATGTTTTCATGATTATTGCCGGTCCCGTATATTCTTAAACGCAAAGGATAACAGAATAAAGCTGTGAAGGAAAACTCACGTTACCTTACACAGGATATTTCTTATGGCGCAGCCAATATCGCAATATATAAAATGCTATATCTCAATTTTTTTAAATACATAACCCTGTATATTATATTCCTTTCAGATGCAGAATTAAAAATGAACATTTTTTTTATTTAAAGTGTTTCTAAATTTGAACGATTTTGCAACTATTTGCAGTATTATATTATACATGGCTTGGATATGTTTTCTTTAAATACAAAAATGTTCATTCTTTAATTCAGCATCTAAAAGAAAAATAATATACAGGGTGATGTAAAAAATTGAATTGTTGACAACAATTCACTTCAGGTTTTTACCGTTTTTCGGATATACTGTTTTTAATTAAACGTTTAGTAAATAAGAAATACCATGGCAACACTGCATAGTGCTTCCAACAAGTTTATTTGCTGTATAAGTACTATTTGCTGAATTTAACTACCAGAAACTTCAAATAAACTTTTTTCCAAATCTTTATAATTGTCTTGAAAACATTGAATGTATCTATGAAGAATAAATTTAAACATAATTATAGCTGAACTGGACAGATGCTAGAGAAGCATGTATTAATGCTAGTTTGGAATTGGTCAGCGTTTTATCCAATAAAGAACGAGATACTATTCAGACATTTTTAAAGGAGAATAATCTTAAACCAGCAGATAAATGGTGTAAGTACAAACTTATTATTGTTTTTTTTAATTGTTTATTAAAATCGTCAAAATATCTCCAATTTCAATCTAAAATTTCACAAAAAGGAAACAAATTTCATCATCATCATTTTCAGCTTATTCAACCATTTTCATTTATGTTGGGTCCATTGTTGTCTATTGTTGACTATGCGGGCCCAAGTTATCCCTGCTAATTTCCTAATATCATCGTCCTATTTCACGTTCAGACTTTTTCTAGGTCTCTTAATTCCTCCTGGGTACCATGCTGTCATTTTTGTGGTCCATCTGTTGTCTATTCTTTTTGCCAGGTGTCCTGCCCATTGCCATTTGAGGGACTTGACTCTGCGGATGACATCAATTACCTGGGTCTCCCGTCGTATCCACTCTATTCTTTTCAGGTATCTTTTAGTTATTCCCAGCATATTGCACTCCATCGAGCGTTGTGCGACCTGCAGTTTCCTTATAATGTCCGTTTTAAGTGTCCAGGTTTGGCATGCATAGGTCATGACTGGTGGTACACATTGGTCGAATGTTTTCTTCTTTAGATAGAGTGGCATTGTAGATTTAAATATGATTGAGTTTCTTCCATAAATACTTCATGCTAACTTAATTCTTCTGTTGTTTTCTGGTAGTATTCCTGTGTATTAGGTGTCCCCAATATACCGTGCTGGCAACTGTTACTTTTGAGTCGGAATTTACATTTACATGTGTGGAAGTAAATCGCATAGGGATTTTATTAAGTCGGAGTGAAAGAAATGCGACCGACCGGCGGGACGCGCGACGTTGTGCTGTTGCGGCGTTGCCATACGCCTTTCCCTATCAAGTAAAGTAAAATCACGATCGCAAACCGCTTATTTTTAAAAGACTTTTTTTACAAGAGATAACTAGATAAAATCATTAAACATATTTCTGAGCCTCTGAAATGGAATTATAAGTATATCGTTAGGGTGTCATTTTTTTTATAACGATAAAACGTCAGTAATCGCGATAATTTAAAAACTCAACTTTTTAACACATAACAGGCCATAACTCAAGAACCACTTTAGATATTGAAACTTTTTTATTTTCAAGATCGGATATTTTACAATATGTTTACGTAAGAAAATTTCGATAAGGTTGTTTTTTCCATTCAAAAATTGTAAACAATCTATCCATTTACTTTTAGAGCATAACAATTTTCAGCAATCGTGTAATTTTTTTATTGATAAAGATTTTCACATACTCTCTACAACGAAAATACAGCAGAAATATTAACAAAGTTCTTGAAAAAACCACAATCTATTATTTCTAATAGATTTCGAGATATCGATTTTTGAGTTCTAATAGCGCAACCACTATCGAACACTTACTCAATGCCACTTATTTTTACCAAAAATGCAAGTGTTTCTAGCTTGCACTTAAAAAAATTCAAGCTATAGGAAAAATTACAACGACTCGTTAATAAATAAACAAATTAAGTATCACGAGACGTAATTAAATCATGAAGCTGAACGCATGACGTACACCTTTCCCTAGAACTTTAAGTACTAACAGAGGTATTGATTGGGTCGACCGGTGAACTGCGACAAATCGGTTATATCGCCTTCCACGTCTCTTAGCGATGTGCACAGTTTCTCGGCTTATTTCATACGTTTGGCAACGTGTTTACTGTCCTCTCTTTCTTCAGTACATTATAAACGCATTGTACTCTTCTTACATACGGAAATCTCGACCCAAGACTAACCTTTGCCAGCCCTTAGTATATTTTATTCTTCTACTATTTCCAGTGTTGTGTTATTTATTAGAATGTCTTTTCTTTCTACTAGTTCGTTGTACATTACTTTAGTTTTAGGTAAATTTATTTTGAGACCAACTTTATTGCTGGCTTTATTTAGTTCATTAATTATTTGTGCTTGTAGTTCTTCAGGACTATTGGCAATTGGGACAATTGGCAAATGGACAATGTCATCAGCGAATCTTAGATGGTTAAGACATTCCCCAATCTATTTTTAATCCTTTGTTGGTCCAGTCCAGTTGATGGAAGATTTCTTCTAATTCTATTATTTTTATTTTTCAGTAAAAATACAATTCCAAATAAAGGATGATTCTCACTATACCTTCCGTTTCCATTCCATATCCGTTCCGTATTTTTGATTGTATTCGCGCTATACGTATGCCTCCGTTTCGTATCAGTTCCATATTTTTTATTGTAGAATTTATCTTTTGAAAAATGTAGATTTAATTAAGAGGTGAAAGAATAAATAAATATCAGCAAAAGGTTCACAGAGCTGGTACAAATGTAAGAACTTTGACAACGCTGTTTCCGATACGCTTCAGTCCTTTCGCCAAAAAAATGTATGGAAGGATATATCCTTTCCTTACAGAACGGAAGGGAAACGGAACGGATAGTGTGAATTTTCCTACTCATTTACATGATATAATATTTTATGTAAACCGAAGGTAGCTGATATGGAAGGTATAGTGAGAATCAACCTTAAGTGCCCTTTTTCTATTTTAGCTGGTTATTGGCTGGCTGGAATAAGGTACCCTAATGGAACATTCTACTGGGACACCACCGAAACAGAGGTCGGACTTGGCGTTCAGTACGGTTGGTTGTTTGGTGAACCCAGCAATGCTGACGCCCTTGAACACTGTCTGGAACTGAAATGGGACGGGAACAACTTTGGTTGGAACGATTATCATTGCATAGTAGAAAAACGGTACCTATGCCAGAATCGAAGAAAAGATGGTTCCGACACCAACGGGTTGGAGGATTACAGCTTCTTGACTGAGGAGAATTTAAGAAATTCATATAGAGATAGATTTTATTATCATGTTCGTTCGCCTGTAGTTGTGGGCATAAGAAACAGTTTTTAGAAATTTATCATATTAACTTATTTTTTTAATTGGTTAAGCTTCATTCAGAACCTCGAAATTAGTGGAATAAATTAGTGGTTTCAATTAACGTAGAAGTTTGTTTCTTTAATTTCAATGTAAGGTATTCAGAACGTCAAAATTAGTGGTAGACATTTTCAATTAGTAGAAAAAGTTATCAAACTTTTAACTTTTCCACTAATAATACTTCAAAATTTGCCAGAAATGTAATTTTGGCCTTTGATTATCTTCCGTCAAGAGAAATCGTGGTTAGAAATCAAAAGTTGATTGTTTTATAAGCCAAATATTAGGCTTTCTCTCTGGATACAACTGACTAACGCCAAGCTGTTGCTACATAGGATACTAGCGTCTACCCGCAACTTCGTTCGCGTCGTATTAATTATTTGTAATGGTGATGATAAAGCAAAGCCAGAATTTCCATTAACATACAAACTGTAAGGAGTGTAAATTTCCTTAAAGGTGCGTATTCATTATCCGAACGAACGAACGAACGAATGAAAGTACCGTATATTTAGCCGGGAACCGAACGCATGCGCCGTTCGTTCGTTCGCTCGACCATCCGTTTCGAGTCGGTACATCAAAGGCGTTCGCGTCCGGTCTTCTCGTGCGGTTCTATCGTTCGGTCCCCGTCCATACCACTAGCGAACATTCGTTCGTTCGTTCGGATAATGAATACACACCTTTTAGAATTCGAGTTTCAAAAAATCCCTTCTTATCGAACCTCTACATCCTAAAGTCAATCCGTTTTCCAAAAATCAGCTTTTTACATCAAGCACTTTAAGCAGGATCGTGATTAATCAATGACTAGATTTTTCGAAACACCCTGTATACATTTTTTAAAAATCTCAAAATATGTAAAAAACAAAAACCTGACCGTTTTTTAAATAAAAAAATTTGTAATATTTGAGGGTTGGTTTCACCCCCTTGGAACTGGAATTTCGAAAAATCCCTTCTTTTCGAACCTCTACACCCTAGAATCAACCTGTATGCCAACATTGAGCTTCTTACGTTGAGTGGTTTGGGCAGGATCGTGATTAATCAGTAAGTCAGTTACTTAAGGATTTTATATATTAGTATAGATTCTATTAATTTTAATTGTATTTTAAACATTGTGAATGATCGTAAACTAAAAAGTATAAAGTGTAATTGAAACTACTAATTTATTCCACTAATTGCGAGGTTCTGAATGAAGCTTTAATGTTGAAAAATCGGAACCAACACGTATTTTACTGGTGGTTTCGGAATTAAAGATACTGTTACTGATTAAATTATTAAAATGCGAATATGATATGTTTTTTACTGTTTTTTAAATAAAATATTAATATTTTTAATTTAAAGGTTTTTTAATAGTAATTCCATACGATCAAAAAAAAAGGCGTAAAAGGCTAGTAATCTGCTAGTAGTAAAAACTTTAGCGCTTTCCCTTTTTTATTTTTACAATTTTGTTTCACTGGCTAAACTCGCAACCCAGGTTTTTTTTTCAAAAAACTGACTTTGTAAGATAAAGCAACACTTTTTTGTAGTATCAAAACTTTTTCTATCATATTCTTGATACATATCATCATCATCATCATTTTCAGCTTATTTAACCATTTCCAATTATGGTGTAGCCTCCCTGACATATTTAGATACTCTCTTTTTAATTGAGCCCATTGTTGTCTATTAATTTGCCTTGCGGCTTTGCGGGCCTAAGTTGTCACTAATTTCCTAATATTATCCCACCGAAGCGCGTTTATTTTAACGTGGTCTCCCCGGAGGCCTATTCCACTAGGTAAATTAAAAACTTTTACTTATCTGCACAAGTCCGACGGACCTGGCTCATTGATGTAAAGTCGATCGTATCTGCTGTGCTGGACTCATCAGGGTGGTCTCTCAATTCGTCCAACTCTTCATCTTCAGCCGCCAGAGGGATATCTACAGGCAAGTCCAACTCCTCTTCATCGGATTCGTCGAGTGACACTTCAGTGACGTTGTCACAGGATTTCCCATTGCAGTATGTATAAATCATTGAACATTTTAATCTAGCTTTTCTGGGCATCCGCAGGCTTTACCACAGTTGTTGGTTTTGCATTTACAGGATAAATATGCAAATAGGGATTTTCGAGCTGGATCTGTCAACGTTGTGACTGTAGTAATGCCTGTTTTTGTTTTCTTCCAACCCCATTTTTCGGCATCTTTGGTACAACCAGAGCAATGCTGAACCTGGTGGAAAGTTCGCAATGAATGCTGTCCAGCACGACAATTAATTATTCATAAATTAATTATTATTATATTAAACGAATTAATGATACGCCACTGTTTTATGACACAGTTGAAGAAACTAAACTAAAACTAGTTTTAGTGAACCCTAATCGACATTTGATTTCGGAAAATCGACTATACATATGTATATCATACTTTACGCAAAATTGTAAAATTTCCAAGGAAATTTTATTCTCTTTAATTTTTCTCTCTTCAAATTTTTACGAAAAACGCATAGTTTTCGAGATATTTACAAAATACCGATTTCGGGCGCCATCTTGGCAAGATGACGGCGCCGCCGCCGGCGGCAAGTCTGGAAATGTGCATTTTATGGATTTTAGTAAGGGACCCCCAAAACTATAAACCTGCAAAGTTTCAAAACTTCCGGACTTTTTTCCAAGCAGGCTCCTTTTTTGATCCCCAATGACTGAACTAGGTACCATGCTGCAATTTTTGTGGTCCACCTTTTTCCGTCCTTCTTCCTAGGTGTCCTACCCATCGCTTCTTGAAGGATTTAAATTTTTGTCGTATCCACTCTATTCTTTTGCGGTCTTTCTTGGTTATTCCTAGCATTTTGTATATTATGAATAACATTATTTGATTCTGGGAAGTTTAGTAAATAAGTAAAAAACAAAATGTAAGCGTACTATGGATGGAAAATGAAAATAGCATAAACATTATGCAGAATTAAAGTTTTATTAACAAACAATTAATGAAAAATCATATATTTTATTATCGAGATTTATTAAGTTCTTAATAAAACCTGATATGAAAATTTCTCGAAACAGTGGGTTACTTTGTATGTCTGTTTGTCGTTTGATGCTATAGATGCGTTATTTAATTCTGCAATAATAAATAACAAAAAAATAAGTATTTCAGGAAGAGGAACCAAAAAAATAATTTAAGATTGTGCAGAATTGTATTTAAAAAGAATTCGTTAGTCGGATAGTAGATAGTACCATTTTTGTTAACTATGAAAATATTATATTAATAACACATTTTGTTGGTGTTAATAGCGCAGTGTTATTGACTTACTTATTACATTCTTAAATTCTTAATTGGCCACCCGGTACTTGATATGTGCTATACATACCATACAGGGTGTCCCAGGCTGAGCGAGCATTAGAAGTTTTTAGCGAACCACATCGGAGATTTTTTGCACATCATTGTTTTACACCGAAATCTATGGATTAAAAATATTTTCAATATGGTGGCACTTCCGGAAATACCGGAAGTTGACAGTAACTTTCTTATTTTAAATGGGTGCCAAATAACATTAACCGTTTTTGAGAAAAAAAAATTTTGGATGAAAAAAACTACCTGTCAGAAAAATTTGTATAGCATAGCCTAATAAATGTCCAATTTAGTGATTACCACAGCTATTGTGACATTAAGAGAAGGCATGTGGCTATCTATTTCCAAAATTAAATTGTTCAAATGTCATATAATAATGACCGCAGCTGGAATTGAGCGATTAAAAAATTATCATAAATAATTTTTTTCAAAATGGAAACTCACTTTTTTATTTCACTAATGAAAAGGTTTTTCAATTCGTTACTTTTTAACTATACATGTTCCTATACCTAAAATGAATCGTTTTTAAGTTAATTAAGATTTTTAATTTGAAAACGTATATTTTTCTTGACCCTTTGACATTAAGTGTCAAACGGTCAGACAATTTATTTCCATCTGTCAGAAAACGAATTATTTGAATTTCCTATATTATAAATACTGCCTGCTTAAGATTTTAAAAAGTATATTTATAAAAAATATAGATCTCGTATTTTCGCTCTTTAGTGATATATATAAACAAGGGTGATATCCTTGTATATGAATTTTTAAAGTAGCTCAACCTAAGACGTTTATGGATGTAAAGCACCAGATGGCGGGGCGTATTTCACAGTCTTTTACTAGAGAAAAATATTTTTTGTTACTCTGAATTTTGAAGCGACCAATAAAAACAGAGAAAATAAAAATCGATAATTTTCGGACTGTGCCAATTGGTTACTAATCGACCAGATACTTTTTGTCTATTAGATATGCTATAAAAGCTGGTAATTATTCAATTCGACCATTGTAAATACCCGACAAATTCCGCAAGGCCGACGAGGCCGATGCTTTTCACTGATAATAAAAAAAATTGTATGTTTAGATAATTTTCGAGATATTTTTTCTTTCTGAATGCACATTTTTAAAGTATTCCTATATATTGATTCTTTGTCAGCTTGATCTATTATACTGGTCGCACGTATCGAAGTTCTGTTTCTTCTAGTTTTAAAAAATGTTCTTATTTCTTTGTAGTTGTTGTGGTTGTAGTGTAAAATTAGATTAATTTTATTAAGTTTAATTATAATGTTTAGTGTAGAATACTAGAATTAGTTTAGTAGTGTTTTTATAGTTTATTATTTTGTAGTTAAGTAGTAGGATGAATTGAAGGGATAATTTGGTTATTTTTTCTTTTTGTTTGGTTAATTAGTAAGTTTGATCATTTTTTCAGTGTAAAGTACAAGAAGTAGTTGTGTAGTGTTTTTATAAGAGATTATATTCGTTTATTTTGTAGATGAGTAGTAGGTGAAGGTATTTGGGTATTTGTTCTTTTTGTTTTTTTTCTAATTGTAGTAATTCTATTAAGTATTGTGATAAATACACTATATCTTCTTTCAACTTCGTTGAAAAGTGCTTATCATATAATTTTGGTTTTCTGGTAGTAGAATATACGAAAAAAAAATCTGATCAAATTTATTTTTAAATAAATTAATCGAGTCTTATTAATCAAATAAATCTAGTCAAATAATAATAATAGTTAGTTTCTAAATACTATACAGGGTGAGTTTCCTACGATGTTCGCTATGGGTATCTCGGAAACTACTGGAGACAGAGAGTCGGTTAAATGGGGAAAGAACTGCAGTTTTGTGGGGTCTTAAATATGCGCCTTTCGGATTTTTCGGTGAAGTTCAAGGCTTACTAGATATTACGAAAAAAAAAACAAATTTTGGCTATTTTAAAACTTGTCTCTAATTCCATTATAATCTACCGTATGATCGAATAAAAACGGCGTCAACGATGGCTATGAAATGAAGATCGTTGTCATTTTATATGTAAAATTATATGGAAAATATCATCGATCGTCATTTCATAGCCATCGCTAACGCCGTTTTTATTCGATCATACGGTATTTTAGACAAAAAGTTTTCAGATAAAAGTTGTAAATAATCACATACCTAATGATGTTTGTGTTTTCTGTTTTTTTTTTCTAAAGCCTGTCATTTTTGACATATGACACAAACATTATGTTTTTTTTAAATGGAAACCCTAGTTGGCCATGACTTCATAAAGAGCCCCATTCTTTAAGCTTTTCAGCGATATAGGTATAATATGTTTTTTTCGAAAAATTACAAGTTATAGCCAATTCTTTTCTTTCTTGGCTAATTTCCGTACCAATAATACCATGCCAATTAGTTGGCATCAAAAATGTAAAAAGTTTTCAAAAAAAAATATCGTAAAATTGGTAAAGCACTCAATTTAGAATAAAATAATCTAAGAATGAAATGATTCTTTTATAAACCTGCATTAAATCAAATTAAAATAGGTATATAACTTTTTTTTTAAATATTAATTAACAGCAATTAGCATTATCATAAATTATAAATAATGTACCAACATATCGAAATGATAATTTCTTTGTTAATACGGTTTAGAATTCTTAAAATAACAGGCAAAAATAATCCACAATTTACAATAAAATAAAAGTTTCGTTTAAATTTCTTAATCAGCTGATCACTATTAAAGTTCGCAGAAACCCGGGGCTATATTATTACATTACTCTGAGGAAAATAACGAAAATAATCGATATTTTTGACTCCGCCCCGAAAGGTTCACGATTTGTCCTCCAGTTGGCAGCACATTTTGTCTAGTCAGTTGAACAACTTTAAGAATATATAAACAAGGGTGATATCTAATAGTTGATATTAATAATATTCCGTATGATCGAAAAAAAACAGCGCAAAGTTGGCTCTGAAATGATGCTGCTTTTTGAACAAAGCGTCACAATATGACATGGCCAGATCTATTGTTTTACATCACTTGACGTTTAAAGTCATAGGCTACTGGGTAAAATCAAGAAAAATATTCGTTTTAAAACTAATCTTAAATAACTTAAAAACGATTTATTTTAGGTATAGGAACATGTATAGTCGTAAAGTAGCGAATTGAAAAGCCTTTTCACTAGTGAAATAGAAAAAGTGGGTTTCCATTTGAAAAAAATGATTTATGATAATTTTTTCATTACTCAATTCTATGACAGCTGGGGTCATTATTATATGACATTCGAACAATTTAATTTTTGATATACACTCAAGACCGGGCACCCTCCGTAAAATCTGTGTTTATAGTCCGATTTTGATGATTTTTTTTTCAAATATAAAGTTTCAAAAAATGTACTTTAGGGCTCAATGTCATGTTATTTCACAAAAAACAAGGCCTACTTAATAAAGTTTTTGTGGTGAAAAATTTGCAAAATCATATTAGCAATTTTTTTTCAAAAAATTTGAGTACACCCCTACATTCGGCATCCCCCAAAACAGTTCTGTACCAAATTTCGTTTAAAAATATTAATTATTAATAATTCTGCAGTTAAATTAAATAATTCCCTATTTTTGCCAATTTAACGATGAGTTATAACGTAACCCTTGAAAAAAACAATCCACAACAATGGGTTTTATTAGCTGTCAATTCTTGCAGCGTAGAATTGAATATTAATTTAATAGCACGCAGAAAAGTGTTGTATCAAGAAATATTATTTGCATTATGGAACAATTAAATATTAGGGATAAAATTGAAATGATTCGTTTAGTGGGTGATAACTATCTTCAAGCAGGAGAAGCTGCCAGAGAATTTAACAACAGACATCCCGACAGACCTGCAGTAAGTAGAAGCACGGTTCAACGAATAAATAGAGTTTTTAATGAAACTGGTTGTGTGTCAAAATACTTACTAAAAAACAGAAGGCCGGAACATTGAATAAATAGGCGGAATGAGGAAATATTAGAATATTTTCGTAACAATCCTCGTGCAAGCATTAGAGGCGCCAGTGTTGATTTGGATATACCAAGGGAAAATATTAGGAGATGTTTGCGAACTAATAAAGTTAAACCCTTTAAACCAAAGATTTTACACACTTTGGAAAACGGAGATGATGTTAGACGATTAGAATTCTGCTTATAGGCTCAAGCAGAGTATTTAAATAATAGAAATTTCTTAAAAGAAATTTTATTTATTGATGAGGCAACATTTAGTACAAACGGAGTAGTATCCTCTCAAAATTCGCGATTCTGGGCAGTCGAAAACCCTGAATGGATGATCAATACAAGAAGACAGTATTCTCAGAAATTAAATGTGTGGTGTGGCATACTTGATGATAGAATCATTGGTCCATATTTTTTTGAGACAAATTTGAATAGTCCAACGTTTTTGAATTTTCTGATTAATGACTTTTGGGATGCAATACATAATTTACCATGCCAAACCCGTTTGAATTTAAAATTTCAATTGGACGAAAAAAAAAAATAAAAACACTAAATCACCACAATACACCAAAACACTTTTACTTTTACACTGGACGCGCGTTTCGCTAACCATGTTAGCATCATCAGCAGATGATTATAAACTGAATAGTTTAGTAAATCACCACAATACACCATAGTAATCACCACAATACACCAAAATAGTAAATCACCACAATACACCAAAACACTTTTACTTTTACAGTGTACTTTACTCTTCATTTATAGTGTACTTTACTCTCCAGTGTAAAAGTAAAAGTGTTTTGGTGTATTGTGGTGATTTAGTGTTTTTATTTTGCTGTGTAACACCAAAGGTTCCAACCCTCAACTGTAATATGATTTTGCAAATTTTTCACCACAAAAACTTTATTAAGTAGGCCTTGTTTTTTGTGAAATAACATGACATTGAGCCCTAAAGTACATTTTTTGAAACTTTATATTTGAAAAAAAAATCATCAAAATCGGACTATAAACACAGATTTTATGGAGGGTGCCCGTTCTTGAGTGGGTCACACTGTATATAGCCACATGTTTTCTCTTTATGGCGCAGTGGCTGTGGTAATCACTAAATTTGACGTTTAGGCTATACAGATATTCTTGACATGCAGTTTTTTTCGTTCAAAAATTTTAAATATTTTTTCTCTCAAAAACGGTCAGTGTTAGGTATAGAGATATATTAATATCAAAATTCATAAAATTTTACCGAAAATTTAATTATGTAATAAAAAACGGGGGCACCCATTTAAAATAAGAAAGTTACTGCCAACTTCCGATATTTCCGGAACTGCCGCCATATTGAAAATAATTTTAATCGATACATCTCGTTGTGAAACTATAATGTGCGAAAAATCTCAAAGCTAGATGTTGTAGTTCTCTAGAAACTTCTAATGAACACTCAGCCTGGGACACCCTGTATATGTGCTATAAATACCATTTTAAAATAGCGAGAAATAGTTAATTAAAATTATATCAATAACAATCCATCAAAAAATGGAAACGAAATTATATTACCATAGAATATTCTGAAACAAAAAATTACGTTACGTTTTTCTTAAGAAATAATTTTAGCGATATGTCTCTATTAACAATTATAATTAATAGATCTATAATAATATTAGAGAGACCAACGAGGAAATCCTGAGGAGGATGGGGAGAGAGCGTGAACTGCTAAGCACAATAAAACGCAGAAAAACAGCGTACCTGGGACATGTTATGCGCAATGAGAGATACCATTTACTCCAACTAATAATAGAAGGAAAGATAGAAGGAAGAAGGGGATTGGGCAGGAAGAGGATGTCGTGGCTCCGAAATGTTAAACATTGGACGGGAATAAGAACTACAGGAGAATTAATTCACGCCACCGGAGAGAGAGAAAGATGGTCAAGAACTGATCGCAAACATCCATTAATGGATAGCAGCAGAAGAAGAAGAAGAATAATATTCAGTAAACAGTTTCCCCACTATATAAACAAATTTATATTGCATTCTTGAAATAAACCCGTGCAAAACACCGCATTAGCTACTTCAACAAAATGATCTCAAATTTTAATATAGTGTTTTGCGTTTTATGTGGTTTATGCGCTTCAGGTAGGTACATAAAGTTAAACCAAATTTTAAAATAAATGGTTTATTAAAGTTACGGTTTACTTTTGTTTTAGGTTTTGTGCCTACGGTATACAGTACATACATGTTGTCCATAGAAGCGGTAAGATTGTATTATATTGTAATCGCAAAACTTTTTCCGATGCACGTCATCAATCATATTGACATTGACACAAAAGTCTATAATCATGACTAAATAAAATTTGGGCAAAAATGTTTAAATTTGTTGTATAATTTAAGACACCGAGCAGCTCTTCATTTTACTTTATAGAGCAAATGGTTGTAACCAGTGGCGCACCTGGAGATTGAGTCTGGGACAGGTAGTGTGAATATTCAAAAAAGTACAAAAGAAATCAGTACGTGTATATTATTTCGTATATTTTTCAATTTATTGATTTTATGGAAAGCACTGTTCATTAAAATGTTGTATCCTATGTTATAGGGCTTGTTTCTCTCTACAATTTCCTGTTTCACAATGTACCGTTTGTGTCCGGGAAGGGTTCGTAGTTTCATAGTTGTCGATTTTCGAAAGAAATGAGTACATGTATATTATTTGATATATTTTTCATTTTATTGATTTTATAGAAAGCACTGTTCATTAAAATGTTGTATCGTATATTATAGGGCTTGTTTCTCTCTACAATTTCCTGTTTCACAATGTACCGTTTGTGTTCGGGAAGGGATCATAGTTTCATAGTTGTCAATTTTCGAAAGAAATCAGTGCATGTCCGCCGTAACTGAGGTTTGATTGCATTGGCTACAACATTTTTTGGGGGGTTTGTTTTTGGTGTTATTTATGAACGATCCGCACTTTTTTCGTTAGAAAATGTCATTATAAGTGTTCCTCTTCTCAATTCTGTATAGAAAATTTTAAAATTTTGACGTACCTAAAGTCTACCAGACCCCTGAAAAGTTTATGGATAAGAAATATAAACATTTATATATTTTTGTAGCTGAATTGGACAGATGCTAAAGAAGCCTGTAATGAGGCTGGTTTGGAGTTGGCTAGTGTTATATCCAATGAAGAGAGAGATAATATTGAAAAATTTTTAGTGGAGAACAATCAAAAGCCAGTAGATAAATGGTGTAAGTATAAATTTATTTGTGGTTTATTTAAATCAATTTGTTACTGTATTTGTTAACTCTACAGGGTGCCCCAAAACGTTCCGCAAGGCATAACGACCAGGGTATTTATTTTTTGAAAAAATCCAAAAACACGTCAATTTTGTTTGTGAGGGGGACAACTTTTGGTCCAAAAATGATTGCAAAATCTTCAACCCTCTAAGCGGGGATATCATCCCCCAACTCTTTTCAAATGGGAAGGGAGGTCAAGTGGCGCCGCAATAAAAAGGGCTTTCTATTGTCTATATTTCTCCGCTTTGTTTTTAAAAATCGGTGGAGTCATTTTGAAAATATTGTTACGGATTCCGTGGGTCCACTATTTAAACTCACGATAAAATACTTAACGAATTTATTTGTTTCACTCTGTACACACAACTTATACTATTTTATCGTGAGTTTAAATAGTGGACCCACGGAATCCGTAACAATTGGTGTCGGAAGTGCGATTCAAGAAGATTTTAAGAAGAAATTAAGTGGATTGGAAGATTTTTAGACCGGATTAGAGTATTTTTATGGTTGGTACAAGGGAACAAGCGAAGAAAATGGAAGAAGTAAGCAAACTATTAGGCGATTTTATGGAGAATATGAGAAGGGAGAAAGCAGAAGAACAAGAAAGACTCCGTAAAGAACGAGAAGAAGAGCGAGCCCGATTAGAAAGAGAAAAGAAAGAGGAAAAACTACGACGTCAACAAGAACAGGACCGGCTTGAGAACATTTTCGAAGATTTGAAAGTTCAACGACAACAAGTCAAAGAAGAAGAACAGGACCGGCTTGAGAAAATTTTAGAAGATATGAAAATTCAACGACAACAAGACAAAGAAGAAGAACAGGACCGGCTTGAGAAAATTTTAGGCAATTTAGAAAGTCGTCAGAAGAATGAATGGAGGAAATTTTAGAAGATATAGAAACGCGCCGCCAAAAGAAAGACAAGAAGATCAGGACCGTCTTAAGAAAACTTTAGAAAATCAGGAATTTCGACTACAGAAGAATTTTGAAAACCTAGAAAAACGACAGGAGAACCATTTCCAAGAAGTCGTAGAAGATCTGGAGGAACGCCTTCAGCAGAAAATGGAAAAATTAGAGATGGACCTACAGAAGACCAAGGTACAAGCAAGGACACCTGGCGTCTCTGGAACAGCGAACCTTAAGGCCCCGACCTACGATGGACAAACGACATGGACAATGTACCACCGTCAGTTTGAAGCAGCCGCCGCTGCCAATGGATGGACTGACCAGGAGAAAGCAGCGGCACTTGTCATCGCGCTGCGTGGCCCTGCCCTGGAACTGTTGCAAACTATTCCTGCAGCCCAACAGCAGGAATACCAAACTTTGGTCGCTGCACTGCACTGGACAGAAGATATGGCGACCAACATCGACGCCAACTTTACCAGGCCCAGATCAAGACACGCCTGCAGAGGTCCGGAGAGAGTCTGCAGGAATTTGAAGCAGACTTACGTCGGCTGGTACACCTAGCGTATCCTGAAGCACCGGAAGGATTTAGGGAGGAACTCGCTGCTCAGTGCTTTATCAGCGGACTGAGGGACAACGAATTACAGAGGGCGCTGCAAATATCCCGGTCAGGGCGCTGGAAATCGAAGCTGCTTTTAGCGCCATCCCTAGACCGAAGATAAGATCGGTAACGGTAGAGGAACAGCCCGAGAGTACCCACAGAAGTTTGAAGTTGGAAGTCTGAAGATAGTCTGAAGTCTGAAGTTTGAAAATACCGCGAAATACCGTTAGAGTAATAATAGTTGCATAAATTGTGTTGTAAATAGTATAAGTTGTGTGTACAGAGTGAGACAAATAAATTCGTTAAGTATTTTATCGTGAGTTTAAATAGTGGACCCACGGAATCCGTAACAATATGAAGGATTGAAATTTGAAAAGTACTTTTTGCAAAAAAAACGCATAAATTGAATTAATTAAAAAAACTTACCTTATTAATGAAGCAAATGCTGAAAATGTTGCCCGTCAACCTCCACACAGTAATACAAATTATTTTCAAACCGTTCTCGAACATTCTGAAGAAATTGCGTAGTGACGCGACAAACATTCGTCTTCGCAGGTTTTCTAATGAGACGGGTGGAGTGATATACACTTTACTTTTTGTGTCCCCTTTAAAAATAGTCTAAAGGAATCAAGTCGGATGACCGGGAAGGCCACTCAATTACACCCCTTCTTCCTATCCACCGACCGGGAAGGTTATTGTTTAAATAATTACGCACATTTTGAGAGTAATGTGGAGGTGCACTGTCTTGTTGAAATATTACTTCCGCTTCAACGTATCTAGATCCAAATTGTTCTCTATGGTGTCAGTTAGGGCTGGGTCGATGGTATTTTCCAGTAAATCCAAGTACATATCACGTGTTAGATCTCCAGGGAGAAAAAAAGGACCCACAAGAGAACTTTCAAAAATACCAGCCCACGCGATTAATTTCTGAAGGTTTTGTGTGTGCACCTCGTGAAAAACCCTGGGGTTGTTCTTAGCCCAGTACCGACAGTTGTGCCGATTAACGACACCGTTCAAAAAGAAAGTACACTCATCCGAAAAACACACATTAAATAACGCATAAGTCACAGAACAGCTATCTAGCAACTACCGCACCTGATCGTTTAACCTTGTGGCAAGTGAAAAAATGCGTAAACATCTAGAAATAATAAGAAAAAACAGCAAATTGGTAAAAGGAATTTATCCTTCTCATTTACTCTGATAAATGTTTAAATAAACTTTTCAAATTTCAATCCTTCATATTTTCTCAATGACTCGACCGATTTTCAAAAACGAAACGGGAAAGTATAGAAAGCCCTTTTCATTGCGGTGCCACTTGACCCCCCTTCCTATTTGAAAAAAATTGGGGGATGAAACCCCCGCATAAAGGGTTAAAGATTTTGCAATCATTTTTGGGGCAAAAGTTGCCCCCTCACAAAGAAAATTGACGTGTTTTTGAATTTTTTTAAAAAAAAATTACCCTGGCCGTTATGCCTTGCGGGACGTTTTCGATGGGCCACCCTGTATATCAAATATGAATAAACTAACTATGAATCAAAAAGTACTTGGGAGTATGTCCACTACTGCATGCTCCAAAAATACTAAATTGCCGAAGATTATGTCTACATTTTTGGTGTACCCATTATTCCAAACTACTGTATCAGCTGTTACATCTTCTGACATTCATCTTTAGCCATCGGTATAGGACCAGGTTGCCTCAGCTGGAATGACTACTTTGTTTTTCCAATTTTCCTGACTTACACCTTATATCTGCTTTTAGCTTCTCAAGTACCTTCGAATTTTCAGCACTATGTGTTTTATTTGCTGCTGAGAATTAATCTAGCAGAGCTTCGCCTTGGTATATTCAACAGAATTTCAATCGCAGTTGTTGGGAGAGTAGTTTTTATGACCCCGCCACATACAGGAACACAAGGCTCTTTGTGAAATTTAATAGTCTTATTACTCTTACTTGCTGGATATTTGTCCACCATACAACTCACCCATAAGTCAGCATTGGCCATACAACTTTTGTGTATAAATAGGGTGATTTTAGAGTTAAATCCCCAATTTTTACCACACATTCTTTGTCTACCTAAAGAGATGGCAGCCTTCTGTGTAGCTTTCGCTATGTGAGTATTCCATGTAGCTTTTGATCAAAATAATGTATAGGGTACTTGTTTCTTTGGCATATGAAATATATGTGCCTCTAGTATGAAGTATAAAGTTGTTCTTCTAGTTGAAAATGTTCTTTCTAGTTCAGTCTCTCTTTTTTTACACCACTTGCCTACTTCATTTAGCGCTGTCTGCATTCTTCCTGATATTATCCCAGCAAACTTGTCTTTGATTGCAATTCCAATATCGTCTACTCTACATATCGTAGACATAAAGTAGTTTGTGTGAACAATTCACTGAGGAGGTCATCTACCAGAATTGTCCAAAGAGACAACACAACACTTCTTGTGGAAAACATCCACCATCTATTAGTTTGATAGTAACTTACCCCAGAGCGAATGTCACTAGCCTGTTCTCTAAAGCGACCTTTATCCATTTGCCTACTACTGAGTGTGTACTTCTTCTTCGACTATAATCGAGACACTACCCTAAATTCTGCTAATCTTTATTAAAAAAAATAAAACAGCACAGATGGCTATCAGTGTTAAAACTATTTGTATACTTATGATGGAAAATTGAATGTATTACAAATCAAACAGATTCATTTATATTATCTATATTATACAGTGTTCGGCAATAGTGCGTCGGGCACCTGTAGCACGTAGAATAAAAAACTTGCAAATTTTGTGTAAGTGCAAATCTAAAGTATGTACTAGTATGCATTTCAGGAAAATATTTTAACTTCTATAGGGTGGCTCAAAAAGTGTGAGTGGATCGGGATGATTTTTTTTTAAATGGAACACCCTTTATATTATTGCATTTTTGGCTTCCCTTCAGAGCAGATTACATAATCCTAAGATATGAGTAAATACATTTCTATAATTTCAGAGATATTAATAAATAAATAAAAAATATATATTTTTCAACCCTCCAAAAAAATTATTACAAATACAAAAACTGTTCTGAAATTAAAACTTTATTAGGTATTACTTTAGATGGTCTATACTTACTTTGCTATAAATATCGTAATCCAAAATCATACAGGGTATTAAAAATGCCACGCCAATCTTTCTAAAACATAAAATAATTTTTCTTGTTTTTTAATCAGAACACCCTGTATATTATCTGTTTATTAAATGGAGAGTTAAAAAACAATTTTTTTTTGTATTTAAAGTAGATACAAGCAGTATTATTTCATATGCCTCTTTCAACGGTAAAATATGAGAGAAAAATCATTGGGTGGCTTTGATAAAAATTCACTGAGGAAAATGCCATATGAAATATAAAACCGCAAATATCTGCGAAACCGTTAAAAACTGTGAAATACTTTAAATACCAAAAATGTTTATTTTTCAGTAAAAAAAATATTATACAGGGTGTTCCATTAAAAAAAAACGAAGAAAAATTATTTTATATTTTAGAAAGTTTGGCGTAGAATTTTGAACATCCTGTATGATTTACGATTACCATATTTATAGCAAAGTAAGTACAAACCATCTAAAGTATCTATTTAATATAGTTTTGATTTCAGGTCAGTTCTTGTATTTTAAATATTTTTTTTAAGAAATGCTAAAAATACATATATTTTTTGTTTATTTATTAATATCTCTGAAACTACCAAAATATATTTACTCATATCTTAGAATTATGTAAAGTGATCTGAAAGGAAGCCAATAATGCAATAATATACAGTGTGTTCCATTTAAAAAATATCCCGAGCCACTCACACTTCTTTGAGCCACCCTATAGAAGTTAAATTATTTTCCTAAAATACATCCTAGTATATACTTTAAGTTTTCACTTAAACAAAATTCCCAAGTTTTTTATTCTAGAAGCTGCAGATGCCCGATGCACTATTGCTGGACCCTGTATTTCTATGAAAAGGCGCGTACTTACTAGAGCATTTTGCTCCGAACGAACCAAACGAGCCGAGCGCGCAGAGCCGAATTCAGCAAGTGAATACGTGTTCGCGAACAAAATTTCACCGAACCGAGCGCGCCAAACATTTTAAACACAGCGAACGCAACAAGCAATCTGAACATTGCGATCTTTTCCTTATTGAATTCGTTCGTGCGCGCTCTGGTCGCTTGGTTCGTTCGGACCAAAATGCTCTAGTTTGTACGCACTTTAAAAATGCAATTTTGATAATAATTCCTCTTCATTTTAGCTGGATATTGGCTAGACGGAATAAGATACCCTAACGGAACATTCTACTGGGACACAACAGGAACCGAAGTGGGCGATGGCGTTGAAAACGGTTTTGTGCTGGGTGAACCCAGCAATGCTTATCAAAAAGAACACTGTATCGAACTGAAATGGGATGATGTCAATTTAGGCTGGAACGATTATTTTTGTGCCGAGAAAAAACGGTACCTGTGCCAAAATCCAAGAAAAGAAGGTCCTAAAAGCGAAGGATTGGACGATTATAGCTTTTTAGATGTTCGGAACCCAGAAAATTTGTCTGATCATTTTAGAGATCCGTTTCCTAGAAGAATTTATTTTCCTAGATTATAGTAATTTGCCGTCATAAAAACACAAAAACGCTCATGCCAATGTTAAACAATTTTAATATAAGATAGACATTTTAATAATTGTTATTATAAAATGATTAACCATGTAAATAAAACTTTAAAAAAAATATTTTACTAAAAGTTGGAAAAATAGATTATGTACTATTAATATCTGAAACGCCCAAGTAAGTTTGTGACTTTTTTCCTTTTTTGAAAACCTGTACAAGGTGGGTCAAATTGGACGCTTTTGAAGAGAAACACCCTTTTCTATAGGAGATAGACGAAAACTAATATCAATCTCTGGAGCTCAATTTTTATCAAAAACATGATGGTGAAAACCACACATCGATATCTGTTACCGTTACGGGGTGTTTTTGAAAAATTTGCATTTTAACAAATCGCTGTAACTTCTTTGCTATGTAAAATTTTGTATTTTTATGAAAACATTTCCAGAGCACCTTTTTACGTAGAATTTAATGGTTTAAGTACAATTTTTTTAAAATTAATAATTAAAGAATTATCAACAGAAAATTTGATTTTTTATATGGGACTTCCTGTATATTTTTAACTCATTGAAAAGAATTTAAAATTACCTTTCCAAAAATGTAACATACTTGATATTTTGCTCGATTCCTGTTAGAGATATAGAGTTTTTAAAAATTCGACCTCTTTGAATAAGTAGGCTTTGAACCTGTAATGCAAAAAAATTGTAGCTGTGAGCAGCAATTAAAAGGAAAATAATATTTGCAATGAGGTATTTAGAATTTTATAACAATTTAAACTATATTTAACAACATCAACACATTATTTAAAGTATATCTAATAACAATAAAAATAAATAGCAAACCAAGACATGAGATTTTGCTACAGGTGTTCGACATATCAACCGTCTTCTGTTATGGACAGACGGGGCAGTTTTTGAACATTTCTCGCGGAATTCATTAACTCAGTAGGGTTGAAAGATACCTTCCCATAACTGCTAAGTATTTCTAATTCTTGTCTAGATTATACGGAAGAATAAGGAGCCTTTATTCTTCCGCAAATATGTCCATAGGATTAGATCCATAAGCACTAAGTCAGGCGGCCTCGACGGCCAACGGCTGGGATCTTGGTTAGCTATTCAGTTATTCTTGAAATTGACTGCAAAAATTTGCTGATAACTTCAGCGTTCAGAGGCGGTGCGTCGTCTTGCTGGAAAAATATGTTTTCGAGTTCAATTAAGGGCATATCATTAATAAGGGGTCCAAAGCCTACTAGTTAAAACTGGCGAACTTTAAAAATTCTGTATTTCGAAGGGGATTATAACAAAATATCTAGTGTGCTATATTTTTGGAAAGGTAATTTTAAATTCTTTTCAGTTAATTAAAAATATAGAGGGTGTCCCAAATAAAAAATCAATTTTTCTGTTGATAATTCTTAAATTATTAATTTTAAAAAAATTATACTTAAACCATTAAATTCTACGTAAAAAGGTGCTTTGGAAATGTTTTCATAGAAATACAAAATTTTCCATAGCAAAAAAGTTACAGCGATTTGTTAAAAATGCACATTTTTGAAAAACACCCCGTAACTCCGAAACGGTAACAGATAGTGATGTGCGGTTTTCACCATCATATTTTTGATGAAAATTGAGCTCCAGACACCGATATTAGTTTTCGTCTATCTCCTATAGAAAAGGGTGTTTCCATTTAAAAGCGTCAAATTTGACCCACCCTGTACAGGCTCCCCCGCTAGTAAAAGTGCATATTTCATATTTTTTCTTTTTAGCATCTAATTTTTACAATACAATATAATTTGCCCAACGACAAGATCCTTGACAGAAGTGTCATTTTAATTTCAAAGTAGTTTATTTTATTCCACAAAGAAATAAGTTGATACAATTGGAACGCATAGCAGGAAATTAATATATTTAAGATTTGAGTGACAAGTGATTACTTCAAAATATTGTGAAAAAAAACTGTATAAAACTGAAAAAATTTAATCGAGTTATTTTATTTAAAAAAAAATACGGTACGTGTTAATAAAGAACAAACAAGGGTGTATTTTATACAAAACAGCACATACCAAAAATTATAAAAAAGAACTATTTCTTACTTTCAGGCTTCAAGAAACTAATATAACTTATGTACAAATATAAAAAAATAATATTGCATAGGAATAAATAAAACACAAGATAAATAAAACAAAATATTTCATTAATAATAATAATTACTGAATTTTATATCTTAAAAGTTGATTAACTGACTATTTTTTTTCTAACCAGTACCTTTTGACATATTCTTTCTATATATAAATTCGGGTAAGAACGTCCTACGACGTTGTCCGATGCCTAACTTCCACCCTGTGCGATTTTCCCATTGATCTTCGGTCAGATTTTTCTCGCTCATCGACCTTCTTATTCCTTCCATCCATGTTTTCTTGGGACGTCCTCTCTTTCGTTTACCAGGTGGTATCCAATGAATGACTTGTTTTGGAATTCTTTCATTGTGCATTCTCTGAACGTGGCCGTACCATATAATTGTTTTTGTTCTATATCATTTACTATTGTTCCCTCTATTCCCATCTGTTGTCTAATGTCTTCATTTCTGATCTTATCCCTCCGTGAAATTATCATTGCTCTTCTAATCGCCTCCATTTCTGTTGTCTCTAATTTCCTTTTATTTCTTTCAGTGAGTCGCCATGTTTCACATCCATAGAGTAATATGCTTTTAACTAGTGTCTCGTATATATTATATTTCCTGTTTTTTGTAATTTCAGTGCTCCATAGAATGCCATTTATGCATCTGATAACTCTTCGTGCCTGTATTACTCTGTTGTTTATTTCTCTATCGTCCGTTCCATCTCCTGTAAATATCGATCCCAGGTACCTGTAATTTTCACATGCCCTAATTTCCATATTATTGTCTAAAATAAGATTTTCTGTATTAGCTCCAATTGGAAGGTATTTTGTTTTTTCTGTATTTACTGTGAGACCCCATTTAGCATATTCTTCAATTATTTTCCGCACCATATATTCCATGTCATCTTTGTCATTTGCAATTATGGCCTGGTCGTCTGCAAATTGCAAGGTGTATAGGCATATGTCATTTAGTTCTATACGCATTCCGTTACATTTTCTTAACCATAGATGTAAGGCCTTGGCAATATAAATTTTAAATAGTGTTGGGGATATACAACAACCCTGTCGGAGCCCTTTAGTGATAGAAATTTCCTCTGAGAGACCGTTGACCGTTTTTATTTGTGATTTTCCTCCATGGTAAAGATTTTGTACAGCTTTTATCAGAGCTGGCGTTAATTCTTGATTAGTGCAATACTTCCCATAATTTTATTATTGGCACTGTATCATATGCTTTTTGTAGATCGATGAATGTTATATGAACTTCCTGGTTCATTGCAGATTTCTTCTCGATGATCTGTTTCAATGCAAAGATATTATCTGTACATTATCTTCCGCTTCTGAAACCATTCTGCTCTTCTTCTTCGTAGCTGGATTATTCCTCTTCAATTAAGTTCCTCAGTATCCTTCCATAGAGGCGACTCATAGTGCTGGTGACCGAAATTCCCCTGTAGTTATTGGGATCCTTCCTTGAGCCCTTTTTATATATAGAGGAGATATATGCTTTTTTCCACTGTTCAGGTACTGGATGACCATTTAAGCACTGGTTAACTATGTTTGTTAACATTCTAAACAGTTTTTTGCTTCCAGATTTTATGAGTTCCGCATATACTCCCTCTGGACCACATTTTCTTTCTGCAGTACTAAAATCTATTATTTACTTACTTATCGTGTGATGTCTTTATTTTTCTGCTACTCTTATTTTTAGTACCATATACGAGCTGGTATACAAACTTTACTGATGGTAACTTTATTGGTGTATAAAACTCTCTGTCTGGGCACCGAATATTAAATATAAATTGTGCTCTGAATTAAAAGAATTAAAACTAGATATAAGCGTATAACTATGTGATAAATTTTAGCTAGTTGCTTTATTAATTCTAATTCTAATGCTCAAAATGCTTCTTTTCCTGTTCACTGCATAAAATGATTCTCTTTTCAAAAGATCTTTTCATGTTAAGAGGCATTAACTGGAGTTCTACTTCGAAAAGCAGCCACATTCATTTATCTCATGTTGTCCATAATAGTTGGTCGGGATTTGTAAGCACTGTCTTTAACATATCCCCATAAAAAAGCCCAGAGTAGATAAATTAGGAGCAGTGGCGTCGCCAGATATTTTTTTCAGGGTGGGCCAGCACTGGGACCAGGTTTTATTCGGGTGGGCCAGATAATTTACCATAGTTGTTGATATACCATAGTTTCTGGACATTGCGCGGGTGGGCCATTACTGGGCCCAAGCTAATCCAGGGTGGGTCACGGCCCACCCTGCCCCCCCCCTCTGGCGACGCCACTGATTAGGAGCATTTAAGCATTCTATGAATGTGTGAATAAAAAATCCTCGGCACCCCCCTGTCGATTTTGTCAAAAACCGAAATCTCTCAGATCGCAGCTAAAATATACTCACTGATAGTTCATTTTATGTAGAATTGACTGCCGCAAACCGTTTTCCGATATCTCTAACAGATTATCGAGTTATTTGAGAAAATCTATAAAAGAAATATTTTTTTCTGTTTTCCGAAACATTTAACACCAAATATCTCTGGAACTCCAGGCATCAATTAATAGAATCATGTCACTTTCTTTCTGATGTTGGATAAGTTTTAATTTTCGGAAAATTTCTGAGAATTTGTTTTCTTTTACCTAGCACAATATTATAACTAACTAGTCGTTAGTTGAGCTAATTTGACAGCTATATTGAAGTCACGTCAGGCATATCACAGCCACCTAGATTTTTCTTTATTAATTATCAAATAATAAAGATCTACTGACACTAAATCATGAAATTGAAAATATTTAGGAAAATTTTAAGAAAATGTTAAATATGTCAAAAACCTTGCGTTTTAGTCACATATTTCTCTAATGAAACTCACCTATATTTTCCTCCTAAAATCCGAACATCACTTAATATACATATAGGGTGTTCCACCTAACCAAACAAAATTTCCAGCAGCGAAAGATCTAATTTTGGGGTGGGGTGGGGGGGTGGAAGGTACTAAATTCGTACGAAATAAGATTTTTTTAGATCAACCCCTAAATCTTTTTTATTTTATCAGATAAAAAAACGAGATTTGGTATGTTAGTATATGATATAAATTAGGATTGATTGACGTATTCAATTCTTTTCGGTTGGAGCACTTCCTGTTTGGAGTTTTGTTTTTGTTTTGGATTTCCACACCGGTAATGACTACAACTTTTGATTTTTAAATGGCATCCTCGGTATTTTTTTAGTTTATTCGATAGAAAATGACATTCTAAATAGAATGACATCTCATATGTCAACTTTTGACATTTTGGCTTAAAACAAAATTGAATTTTAAATTTGATTCTAGAGTGCCATGGCTGTGTTAAAAATACTATTTTTTAATCAAGAAGCCTTGGAAAAATAGATTTGATCGTCTAATGTTATTCATGTCTTGCTCTGGCCGGTTAAAAGATGCCCAAATCGTATTTTTAATCATATCTCAATTTTTTCAAATGAAAGGAGAGTGTCTCATTAGCATATTTGGAAAAAGCATTTTTTACGAATAATTTGGTACCACACACTTGGTATTTCGAGTCAAATTGTCGTTACGAATTGCATGTTGCAATTTCAAATAAACAATATTCGAAAATGTCAAACGTTGCCATATAGTTGCCATATGCCATTCTATTCAGAGTGTCATTTTCTATCGAATAAAGCAACAAAACACCGAGGGTACCATTTAAAAATCAAAAGTTGCAGTAATTTCCGGTGAAACAGGAAGTGCCAGAAAACAATGGAATACGTCAATGAATCCTGATTTACGTCATATATATTAACATACCAAATCTCGATTTTTATCTGAAAAAATAAAACTACTTTCTAAGACAAGCAAAAAGATATAGGCGGGTAAGATATAAATGGTATTTAAAATTTACTTTATTCTTGAACAATTGAAATTCTAAAATACCTAACTTTGATTTAAGAGGTTTTTAGACGGCTTCTTAAACATTTGTAGGAAGAAAATGTGGAAATCAAGTTTAAAAAGATTGCAGATGATATATATCAACGGTTCACAATAATTAATGACAACCACAATTAACTTGTTGATTTAATGCGTTCGGAAAAGCGAGGTAGGAATAATCTTCAGAGTCTTTTTCTCTTAAACCGCCTTCTCTTGTACTCTGACATATATATCGTCTTCTTTTGCTGCAAGAAATATCATTCCATCCCGAAAATATTCCATCCCATTTAAGTTCGAGACAGTGTTCCATACCGGAAACATTGTTAGGTTCACCCAACAACCATAATTTAACATGGTAATCACGAGGAGGCAGTCCGCCAAGACCAACCTTGATGCCAGTGTTATCCCAGTAGAAAGATCCGCTATGGTGCCGTATTCCAGCGAGCCAATATCCAGCTAAAAGGAACAAAAAAAATTAAAATGTATGATAAATCTATATGATAAGTACCTATATCTAGTTTTTAGCTTATACCGTATGATCGAAAAAAACTGCATCTAGTTGGCCATAATTTTACATATAAAATGACAACGTTTCTCATTTCATAGCCATCGCTGACGCCGTTTTTTTCGATCATATTTTGCTATGCTACTACCGTGTAGATTTATTTCATTTATACTTACACCATATATCTTCTTCCTTTTTAATGTGTTCAAGTAAAAATTTTTCAATGGCATTATGTTCCTGGTTTAATAAAACACTGGCCAATTCTAAATCAGCGTTAATACAGGCTTCTCTAGCAGCTGTCCAGTTTAACTAATACAAAAAAAATAAATGTTTATAGGTATAAATATACAGGGTGGCGCCTCTCACACGCCGCGGAAGCTCCAAGGAGAACGGTAGTTTATATCAAAATCAAATTTTGACAGCATATGTAGGTCAACTGAAAGCATTATATAAAAATATATAGAATTATACAGGGTGTCCCCAAAAAAGGTACACATCGAAGTTGTGTTTTTTTCTAATGGAACACCCTATATATTAATTGATTTTCGGATTCTAGAAAAAAAATAAAGGTGAGTTTTATTAAAGAAGCATATACCTAAAATCTAAGGATTTTGACATATTTCACATTTTGTGAAAATGAAGAGTAAATTTTAAATTTCGATAACAGCTACCTAAATTTTAGTTGACCTTGTATAGCTTGATATTTAATTACAGTAACTATTGTATTGTTGAACCGACGAAAAACGTAACAGTATGTTAAACCAAACTGAAATTTGACCCAAAAAGTTATACAGGGTGAGACAAAATTAATATGGAACATTAGTCACTTTTAAAAGCAAGTTACTCCTTTATTTTAAATGGAAATAGTTCAATGTATATATCTTCAAAATATTATTAAGGTTGCCTACCCCTCAGACAAAGATTTCGCAGATATTTTAATTTTTATGATTTTGATTCAGTAAACTTTAATATTTGAAAAAATCTAGGTGGTTGGGCGATATACCTTTTGTTAATTTAACAAAAATTAAAGATTGTAGAGTAAAATACTCAAGGGTAATAAAACATACGCCTTTAAACATATTTTAATTATTGCAGAATTAAAACTAGATATTATAAACCTATAATAATGCGACAAAAATTAGCTAGATGAAATCAAATGCTCAAAATGCTTCCTTTCCTGTTAAATGCATAAAATGATTGTCTTTTCAAAAGGACCTTTTCATTTTAAAAAGCATATGTGGAGTTCTACCTGAAAAAGCAGCTACAATAATTTCTCTCATGTTGTCGACACTAGTTTGTCGAGTTTTGTAAACACTGTCTTTAACATATCCCCATAAAAAATCCAGCCTAGATAAAATCAGGGGCATTTAAGTATTCTATTAATTGGTGAATACACACTGCATTAACCAACTAATAGAATCATATCAATTCTCTCTGATGTAGAATAAGTTTGCATTTTCGGCAAATTTCTGAGAAATTTTTTTGTTTTAACTGACGCAAAATGATAACTAGTTATTAAAGTTGGACTAATTAGACAGCTATGTTGAAGTAACGTCAGACATATCACAGCCACCTAGATTTTATCAAATAATAAAGATCTACTCCGATCAAATCATGTAATTAAAACTAGATATTATAAACCTATAATAATGCGACAAAAATTAGCTAGATGAAATCAAATGCTCAAAATGCTTCCTTTCCTGTTAAATGCATAAAATGATTGTCTTTTCAAAAGGACCTTTTCATTTTAAAAAGCATTTTATGTGGAGTTCTACCTGAAAAAGCAGCTACAATAATTTCTCTCATGTTGTCGACACTAGTTTGTCGAGTTTTGTAAACACTGTCTTTAACATATCCCCATAAAAAATCCAGCCTAGATAAAATCAGGAGCATTTAAGTATTCTATTAATTGGTGAATGCACACTGCATTAACCAACTAATAGAATCATATCAATTCTCTCTGATGTAGAATAAGTTTGCATTTTCGGCAAATTTCTGAGAAATTTTTTTGTTTTAACTGACACAAAATGATAACTAGTTATTAAAGTTGGACTAATTAGACAGCTATGTTGAAGTAACGTCAGACATATCACAGCCACCTAGATTTTATCAAATAATAAAGATCTACTCAGATCAAATCATGTAAATAAAAATATCTACAAAAATCTTTATTTGAGGGGTAGGCAACCTTAATAGTATTTGGAAGAGACATTAATTCACCATTGAATATCGGAATAATATACTGGGTGTTCCATTTAAAATAAGAGAGTAACATGCTTTTAAAGGTGACCACTGTTCAATATTAATTTTGTCTCACTCTGTATAACTTTTTGGATCAAGTTTTAATTTGATTTAAGGTACAATAGTTAATTTAACTACATATTAGGCTATACCGGGTAAATTCCAATTTAGGTAGCTTTGATTGTAATTTAAAAATTGTTCTTTATTTCTAGAAAATGTTAAATATGCCAAAAACCTTATATTTTAATCATATACTTCTCTTATAAAACTCACCTTTATTTTTCTCCCAGAATCCGAAAATCAATTAATATATAGGGTGTTCCATTACAAAAAACACAACTTTGATATGTAACTTTTTTGGGGGACACCCTGTAGAACTCTTTATATTTTTAAAAAGGAGGAGCCTCCGCGGCGTATGAGAGGCGCCACCCTGTATAAAAAAATATTAAATACCAGTTGCGTCTCAAACGTGGCTCATCCTTGTAACTTTTTTATTTTTTCAGATAAAAAAACGAGATTTAGTATGTTAGAGACATAAATTAAGTTCGATTGGCGTATTCAATTGTTTTTGGTCACTTCCTGTTTCACCGGAAATGACTACAACTTTTTATTTTTAAATAGCAGCCTCGGTATATTTTTACTTTATTCCATAGAAAATGGACACTCTGAATAGAATGACATATCACTTTTGACATATTCGCTTAAAAAAAATCGTATTTTAAATTTCAATCTAAAGTGCCATGATTGTGTTAAAAACATTAATTTTTGATCAAGGAGCCTTAGAAAAATAGATTTGATCATCGAATGTTTTTTGTCTCTTGTCCTTGCCGGTTAAAAGATGTTTAAATCGTTTTTTAATCATATCTCAATTTTTTCAAATGGAACAAGAGTGGATTTTAGGAGAGAAATAATTTGTTAACCACACACTTGGTAACCACACAAATTGTCGTTATGAATCGCATGTTGCAACTTCGAATAAACCGTATTCCAATTTCCAATATGTCAAAAGTTGGCATATTTATGATATGTCATTCATTATGCCAATCATTCCTAATGCCAACCATTCCTAATTTATGTCATGTACTAACATACCAAATCTCGTTTTTTTTATGTAAAAATATAAAAAAGTTATAGGGATGAGCCACTTTTGAGACGCACCCGGTATACCATATGATCAAAGAAAAAATAGCGTCAAAGGCGGCTGGGGAATGACCTTAATCTAAGGGAATGACAATCCATGATAATTTTGGCGTGGTTACGCCATAGATGTCATTTACTTGACCCGTGCTCTTTATTATTTTTAATGGTGCTTTGTGCCAGTTTGCTTTAAGAAGGTTGTATTTTGTTTTTATATTGAGTAAAAATGATTTTTAAATGATGTAATTTAAAATTCGAGAAAAAATATTTTTTTAGAAATAGATTTATGAGTCTGGAAACGGTTCTATCCTTTTTTAATCTTTCTATAATTAGTGTTTTACTTACTTACTAATTATTTTTTTTGTAATTGACGTGTAGAGATTGACCACGCCAAAATAATCATCGAATGTCATTCTCCAGCCGTCTCTGACGCAGTTTTTTTTCGATTACACGGTATTATTGGGAACAAATTATTAAGAGGAAACAAATGGCGAATTATTTATATCAACGCAAAACATTAATTTCTGTTTTGATTGAACTATGTGACCCCACAAATTTTCCTTTTCATATTTCTCTCTTCTGATTACATATTAAGTGGCCTACACACGTCTAACTTGATTGATCCACTGGACTTCGTTGAAAAGTAAATTTATTTAGGCATGTAAAGTTTTTCTAACGAGATAATACTGAAAGTGGGAGTTATCTGTCCTTTTCATTCACAAAAAAATGTATTTTCTATCACTGCTTAGATGCACTCAGATGATATTCTTGCCTGACTCGTTGGATAAACGGGCAGACTTTAAAGTTGTAATTAAGGCAGTAAAAAAAGTGTTAAGCTTGGGTTGCCAACTTTCAAAATAAAAAATAGAGGACGAGGATAAAAAAGAGAAACAAGCAAATTTTTATGAAACCTCGGTCAAATGTCTATAATTTACAAAAAAGTTATGTCAGCGGTATGCGATTGATGGTCTTTATTACTTTCTTAAAAATATTTATACTCAAAACTTGTTAAAATAAAACAAACCATTCTCAACAAAGTTCTCAACAAAACTTTTTTTTCAAAACATAAGCTGACAGTAAGTAAACATAAAATAGTTAAATATGTTTATCGCAACCACACATATAGGAAGAGACTGGGGGATAGCACCGGTCGCGTGTTATTTTATATTTCTCACGTCTCTACAGTCTGACAAACGGATCTGAAACAACGGGGCAACGGCAAGGGGATCGCAATTTTCTAAAATCATGACCGATTTCGTTCATAAAATATCCACGAGCGTGCGGTGTTTCATAAAAATATATCAGGAATTTTTATAATATTTTCCAGTAAAGTTTATAATATTATTTTACTTTAAATGTACCTACATTTTGTTTAGTCATTTTCCAAATATACTAATATTTGTTAAAACGCGTGTACAATTACAATAAACACAAATCAAATTAAAGATATAAAACACAATACAATAACACCGCCACTGGATTTTTCAATAGTAGTGACTGTTTCTACTATTCCTATGGAGGGGCATAAAGTTGGGGGTAATGGCGGCAAGACGTGCGAGAATCTCGACCAATCAGACTGGTTGAATCCGGGATGCCATGATGAATTTTGTCAGCGTTGCCAGCTTACCCTAAGCGGACGTTATCTTAAGGAAATACTTTACTTTTTATAATAGGCAGAATGAACGAAATCAGTTAATTAGATAAATATACATTATTACACTAAGAACTACGTCAACATATTAGCGTATACAGGGTGTTTCAAAACAAATGCGAAAAACTTTAGGGGGTGATTCCTTGTTCAAAATAAAGGGTAGTTTGCTTTATAAACGTTGGGTCAAAAGTCAACCATTAGGGAGATATCGCGGTACAAAGATGGCAATAAAAATAATGTTTTTATTTTTATCTTGAAAACGAAAAGAGATAGACTAATGAAATTTTACGGAAGCTTTACTGTTATGAAAACACACTTTCTGGTAATTTCTTCACTTTTTTAAAATGAGTGGAAGGGGTTGAAATAAACTACCCCTATCATTCTTGTTAATGAAATATAAAGAAAAATCTTATCAAACACATGCAAAAAAAAATAATTTTGATAGTTTAGTTTATTTAGAAACTTTTTTTATCTCTTTGTGTTTTTTGATAAAACTCACCGATTTGAAATTAAAAAATAAAATGTAAAGCATTACATGTCAGGACAAAAAACATTTTTAGATAAAGAATCTAGTAGGCAGCTGTAATTTTTTTGGAAAAAATCTAGTCGGCCGCTGTCACTTTTTAGGATGTTTCTAATATTGTTTTATTTGACATTACCCTACTGCAATACGTTATTATCTAGATTATTAGTATTATCATTATTATCACTAGATTCTTAATCTAAAAATATTTTTAGTCCTGACATGTAATGCTTTTTACATTTATTTTTTAATTTCAAATCGGTGAGTTTTATAAAAAATACAAGAAATAAAAAAGTTTCTAAACAAACTAAACTATCCAAATTAATTTTTTTGCATGTGTTTGATAAGATTTTTCTTTAAATTTCGTTAACAAGAATGAAAGGGGTAGTTTATTTCAACCCCTTCCACTCATTTTAAAAAAGTGAAAAATTACCAGAAAGTGTGTTTTCATAACAGTAATGCTTCCATAAAATTTCATTAGTCTATCTTTTCGTTTTCAAGATAAAAAATAAGAACATTATTTTTTCGCCATCTTTGTACCGCGATATCTCCCTAATGGTTGACTTTTGACCCAACGTTTATGAAGCAAACTACCCTTTATTTTGAACAAGGAATCACCCCCTGAAGTTTTTCGCATTTATTTTGAAACACCCTGTATATAATTATACAGGGTGTCCGAGAAATAAGTGCAAGTATTTTAAGGTGTGTTAAATCTCGATAAAAGAAACATATTTTCTCTTTTTCGTTTTTCAAATAAGTCCAAAATAACGGATTTATTTTACTTTGAAAATTTCGAAAAAACGTGACTTTTTGCTAAAATTTTGAGAACCGCTGGATCTTTTCTGGATTTTTTTTTCTTGTAAATTTAATCTAATACCTATGTTGCCATATTATCAAGAAATTATGTTTTTAATTAAAAACTAAAAAAAAATCCAAAAAATTTTTCAAAAAATTTCGAATTTTCAAAAAAAAATTGTTCGCGAAAAAAACCTCATAGGCGTGTTCCTGGGGTTGAATTATGCTACCAGTTAAAATACTTGCACTTATTTCTGGGACACCCTGTATATGCTGAAATGAACTAAAATATATTCAATTTATAGGTAATATCGAGCAACTTTGCTTTTCTATAATTAAACGTGACAACATCGACTTTTTTTGCCCGGATTCCTTCCGCTGTTAGATTCGTTTGTCAGATAATAGCTATACTTGTTAAGTTGTACAGGGTGTCCCACTAAGAATAGCTCTCGGCTGTATATCGGAAAGTATTAACCATAGGGCCTACGGAAAAAAATATTTATAACTAAAGAGGCTATGAGAAAATGCTGGAAATTATTTTCAAGTTTGTAAAACGGCCGCTAGAGGGCGCAACTGCTATGGAAAATAAGAAAATAGAATTTTTACAGAATTTTGCCCAGATAATGGGTACTATAAATAATAGCTTCGTAATCTTCACTAAATTTTGGATTTTTTTCATTAGAACCATTTTCCCCTATCTGCTAAAATAAAGTGGTGGGGGAAGGTTAGATCTATCTTTATTTAAATGTTAATAACTCCGGACTGGATGATCAGAATCCAACAAACTAGGGCTCGTTTAAAAGAGCGTTTCTTACTCTATATTATACCATCAAAATAATAATAATAAGGTTTTGACGCTTGGGGGCGCTTTCTTACAATTTAACATAGCGCGTTTTTTTCAAAAATATTAAATACGATAGTATATGTAATTTTACCTGATAGTAAAGAGTAGTAAAAGCTTAAAAAGTCGGCGAAAACCGCATCTTGATATCTTAATGCAAACCAAAGATATTAGTAAAATTATAATAAATACCAAAAAATAAGCCCTTAATTACCTTATTTTTAAAACACGATATCAGTAGCCCTCTTGATTATGCCCATTCTAACAAAAAAATAATATAGAAACAGATGTATTAATGTCTAATAATTAAGATATTAATAACAGAACAAGAAACGATGATTCAGTGAAGTCATGGATGTCGGTTATTTCAATAATCGAGTACTCGCGCGAATTTTCGCTTCAGTTATCCCATCACTAGTGTTTTGTACTATTGAAGTCGCATTGAAGAGCCTATACAGGCGGCACAACGCACAGTGCGTTGGATGGTCATTCTAGCGGGACAACAATCTTGTATCTTTTTATTTATTAATAAATTAAGTTGTTAATAAATAAATCAATTTAACTGTTGTAATATGGTTACTATATATTAGACCATTTGCTACGTTCTTAAATTTTGTTTAAATCTCAAACATGGGTAATCGGTACTGATGTTTCGTCCCGCTAGACTTACCATCCATCCCGCTAGCCTCCCCGACGAAAAGCCGCCTCGTGTGACCTCAGCCTTATTCTATTAAATAATGTATAATAAAATCTTACAACTTCTGTTGACAAAAAGTATATTCCGTCTGGCGAGGGTATAAAATCTAAAACAAAAAAAAACAGTAATAATTTAATAAAAAATAGAGAACCTTTTATACACTTTTATACCAATTTAAATACCTGAAACGGAAAAGCCAAATAAAATAGACAGCCAGGCGATGCACTTGAAATACATTTTGACGAAGCACTGCGTTGTTTTCTATTTTGCACGGATAAATATATTCTAAGAATCGTACATAACTTTGTTTATCTATAGTAAGATATATAGGACAGAGGACGATCGATTCCTTTCCTATATACGGAGATCATATTAGTTGACCTTATCCCTTTAAATTACGACTTCCATTTGCCATATTAAATTCGACACTTATAATGCATGCTATACAGGGTCTGGCAAACAGTGCGTAGCTCCTAGAATAAAACTTGGGAATTTTGTTTAAGTGCAAACCTAAAGAATGTACAGGGCGAGTCAACGATAGAGTAAAGTCCATTATCTCATTTGTTTCAAGGTTTACAAAAAAATATTTAATATAAAAGTTATAGGGATAGTTAAGGTACACATTTTAAAATTATTATAGAGTATACAAGGTGCTTCCAAAAAATGTGACGGCTATAACATATGTTTTTTTAAATGCAACACCCTATTTTTTATTTTATTTTTAGATTCTGCGTAAAATTCCATAACTTTTTTTATATATAATGCTAAAATTAATAGTTTTTGTAATATTTCAATTTATTTAAACAAATGTTAAATTGCAGTGTGGTAAAAAATTGTCAGTGGTGCCATTGTTTCTGAAGTTGGAGATGGCATAGTTGCCATGACAAAACAAAAATATTTATTACTTACCTTTAACAAATAGCTTCATAATTAGTTACAATTGCTGGTATTAGTTAATATTAATTAACTTTACTCAAATAAACTAAATCGCAGTAGTGAATTGGTGTATTTTTATATTATGAAAGATGACACTTGGGATTTTTAGTCAGGGCGAATAGCCACAGATTAGAGTAATACTAGATTACCTAATTGCTGAAGACTACTGATATAGCAATTTTCTTCAACATACAGTAAAGTTTTCTCGTAGTAATTCTAGTTTATAATTCATTTTGTAAAGCCAATATTACTACTGCCGCGAAACCGTCCCATTACACACTAAAAATGTTTTCTAGGTAATATATATCTATTCTTATAGTAGTTAGCAAAATACTATATAATCTATAGTATTGAACCAAAAAAATGTGGTTTTCTAGGCTTGTCCGTGTATATCAGTCACGTTGACTAATTCATTTCAAGAAAATCTGTAACTATTATCTCTACCATTTATACTTATTACAACAAATTAAACTAAAATTCAAATTGTGTTCTTAACTTGCTTAACAGACGTGAAATTGATGAGAATAATTATTACTTTTTATCATGGCGACTATGATGTTATAGCGCAATTGTATTAAAAATATGGGTAAAAATAGAAAAAATTGGAATAAATCGCAAACTAATAAAAATAGGTATATGACATACTTAATAAAAGTTGAAGAGTTTTGTAAAATCTATCAGAAAAAATTATAATATATAGGGTATACCATTTAAAAAATTGAAATTTCTTAATTTTAAGTAGTTGAAATTCATAAATTTATTTTGAACACCCTGTAACATCTAACTAAAATATCTTTACATAGGTCTTTTTCTATATCTCTATAAAATTCTCCTACCAAATGTTAGTTGTCCAACTTCAGAATCAATGCCATCAATGACAATTTTTTATTACACTGCAATCTAACATTTGTTTAAACAAATTTAAATATAACAAAAACTATTAATTTTAGGTATATAACATTGTATATAAAAAAGTTATGAAATTTTACGCAGAATCCAAAAATGAAATAAAAAATAGGGTGTTGCATTTAAAAAAAAAACATATGTTATATTCGCCACACTTTTTTGAAGCACCCTGTATACTGTATAATAATTTTAAAATGTGTATCTTAACCGTCTCTACAACTTTTCTTTTTAATATTTTTTGTAAACCTCGAAACAAATGAGATAATCGACTTTACTCTATCGTTGACTCACCCTGTACTAGGATGTATTTCAGGAAAATATTTTAAATTGTGTGGCTCAAAAAAGTTTGAGTGGATCGAGCTGTTTTTTTAAATGGGACACCCTGTACAGGGTGGGTCAAATTCGACGCTTTTAAATGGAAACACCTTTTTCTATAGGAGATAGACAAAAACTTATATCGATGTTTGGAGCTCAATTTTTGTCAAAAACATGATGGTGAAAACCGCATATCGATATCTATATACCGTTTCGGAGTTACGAGGTGTTTTTCAAAAATATGCATTTTTAACAAATCGCTGTAACTTTTTTGCTATGGAAAATTTTGTATTTTTATGAAAACATTTCTAAAGCACTTTTTTACGTAGAATTTAATGGTTTAAGTATATTTTTTTTAATATTAACAATTTAAGAATTATCAACAGAAAATTTGATTTTTTATATGGGACACCCTGTATATTTTTAATTTATTGAAACGAATTTAAAATTACCTTTCCAAAAATATAACATATTAGATATTTTGCTCGATTCCTCTTCGAGATATAGAGTATATAAAAATTCGCCCGCTTTAAATAAGTAGGCTTTGAACGGCACCGGCACCGGCTGTAATGCAAAAAAATTCTAGCTATGAGCATCAATTAAAACGAAAATAATATTTGCTATGAGAGATGCAGAATTTTATAACAATTTAAAATATATTTAACCAACATCAACACATTTAAACTATATCTAATAATAATAAAAATAAATAGCAAACCAAGACATGAGATTTTGCTACAGGTGTTCGACATATCGACCGTCTTCTGTTATGGACAGACGGGGCAGTTTTTGAACATTTCTCGCGGAATTCATTAACTCAGTGGGGGTGAAAGATACCCTCTCATAACTGCTAAGTATTTTTAATTTTTGTCTAGATTATACGGAAGTATAAGGAACCTTTATTCTTCCGTAAATATATCCATAGGATTAGATCCATGGGCACTAAGTCAGGCGGCCTCGACGGCCAAGGGCTGGGATCTTGGTTAGCTTTTCAATTATTCTTGAAATTGGCTGCAAAAATTTGCTGATAACTTCAGCGTTCAGAGGCGGTGCATCGTCTTGCTGGAAAAATATGTTTTCGAGTTCCATTAAGGGCATATCATCAATAAGGGGTCCAAAGCCTACTAGTTAAAAGTGGCGAACTTTTAAAAATTGAATATTTCGAAGGGGATTATAACAAAATATCAAGTGTGCTATATTTTTGGAAAAGTAATTTTTAATTCTTTTCGGTTAATTAAAAATATAGAGGGTGTCCTAAATAAAAAAATTGATTTTTCTGACGATAACTCTTAAATTATTAATTTAAAAAAAATATACTTAAACCATTAAATTCTACGTTAAAAGGTGCTTTGGAAATGTTTTCATAGAAATACAAAATTTTCCATAGTAAAAAAGATACAGCGATTTGTTAAAAATGCACATTTTTGAAAAACACCCTGTAACTCCGAAACGGTAACAGATATTGATGTGCGGTTTTCACCATCATGTTTTTGATGATAATTGAGCTCCAGACACCGATATTAGTTTTCGTCTATTTCCTATAGAAAAGGTTGTTTCCATTTAAAAGCGTCGAATTTGGCCCACCCTGTACAGAGTGGCGCCTCTCAGACGACGCAGAGGCTCCAAGAAGAACGACAGTTTGTATTGAAATGAAATTTTTTGAGCATATGTAGGTTGATTTAAAGTACTTTTTAAAAATATAGAGAGTTCTATAGGGTGTCCCCAAAAAAGTTACACATCAAAGTTGTGTTTCTTGTAGGTACATAAAATATAGTTCATGCATGTAAAATGTAGAATGAGTAAAAGGGGGGTCATCACAGCAAACTTAAAGATCTATTGTGTCCCCCTCTCTTGAATTCATCATACAGTCTATAACTCATCATACATGGTCCACTTCCTGTTATAGGGGGGACAGGATATTTCCCATCCTCCTCTGACAACAGATGTTCTGCCTCCGAGGAGTGGGCATCTACCTCCTACGAGGATATACACCTTTTCACGATTGTGGTTTAGTCCTTCGTGCCCTTCACAGTCGAACAGCTTTTCTCCAACTGAGATACCCGTGACGTGGAGGCTGGAAGATCTGTCTCCATTTTCTCCACCTCTTTAACTTGGTCTCTCCTTAGACCTGTTAGGTTGCTCTGACCACCGACCAGCAAACGTCTCTAGAAGAGGCTATACTGGACGAAATAGTGGCGATAGGATCGCAACACAACGATCTAAAAAATGTGGGTCAGTTGCGTTTTGCGGGAATACACTTTCGGGTGGGCATGATTCTCATAGATTGTGTATCTCAAGAATCGGCGAATTGGTTGGTGGAAATCGCACCTAAGCTTAAAAATTGGCAAGAGCCGGAACTAGTTGCAGTGAAGGGAGAAAACATCTCTAAAGGGGCGGCCATAACGGTCTTTCTGCCGAGGAGCAAGGGGAAAGACACCACCTACCTGCTGAGCCTTATCCAAGGTCAGGACTTCAATGTAAGGACATCGAGTTGGCGAGTCATCAACTCGAGGGAGGAGGGTCATGGTCAGGTCCTCACAATAGGAATTGACCTCAAATCCAAGGAGGCCATAGAGAAAGAGGGACATATCCTCTATTATAGATACGGGACAACACCCGTATCAAACACAGGTCTTAGGAGAAACCAAGTTAAAGAGGTGGAGGAAATAGAGACAGATCCTCCAGCCTCCACCTCACGGGTTCCTCAGCCGGAGGCAAGCTCCTTGACTCTGAAGAGCGGCACAGAGGGTCAAACTTCAACCGTGGAAGGGTGTTTCCCCTCTACAACAGGGGTATGATGGGTTATAGACTGTGTGATGACTCAAGGAAGGGGGACATAATAGATTTTTAAGGTCGCAGTGATTAAAACCCCCTCTTACTCATTCTACATTCTAGACCTGTTACCGGTGTTATCGCAAATCTATTATAGATATAGAGGATATATTCTCTATTATAATAATAGACGATATATCCCTATTTCTCTATTGCCTTCTTGGATTTGAGCTCAATTACACGGCAAGGGTTAGTCGGTTCAATTCTACAGAGCCCCGCATGTAGAAGTAAGGGATACAAGAATACAATAGGTTGCAGGTAATAATAATAAAGTAAATAACTTTATATGATTAAAACTTAAAACCGCAGAATAAAAATTTATTTAAAACGTACAATAAACCTTCTCAGCTAAGCATAAGATATAATAAAATAATCAATATTCCTTTCAATATTCTCACTTTCTTGGGGAGTAAAATATAAGTGGACCAACATTTTTTGGCTTGTTTATCTCTTTATTACCACAGGGTTTTCTACAGTCATGACTTGAGCACAAAAACGAAACTTGCAGTTTACCGAGCAATAATAATCCCCACCATGTTATATGGAAGCGAAACATGGGTGTCGTACCGCCGACTCAGAACAGAAACATATGAGACAACTATTAAGAATCAAATGGTACCACCATGTCTCAAAAGAAGGTATCGGTCCTGGAAAAAGCTAGCTGCGAGAGCGCTGAAGTCATGATCACTAAATCCTGCTTAATATGAGTTGGTCATGCATGCAGAATGCAAGAAAACCGTCTACCGAAATCTCTCCTTTAAGGTAAGCTTGCAGACCGTAAGAGGAAACCGGGTGGACAACTCAAAGGATTTTTTCCACGAAAACTTAAAAGGAATAAACATGCAGAATCAGTGGGAGGAAGCAGCACACGATAGAACGCAATGGACAAGGATTTTAAACTCAGTTAACAACGACAACCAAAGAGTAAAGAGGCAACAAAGTAATGAGAAGTTTTAATGTCCAGAGTGCGGAAGATAGATAGCATCACGTATCGCGCTTTTCAGTCACAGAAAACGTCTTGCTTAACCATCTTCTGATACGTGTCAAATAGTTGTCAGCGAGTAATAGTTGTCAGCGAGTAATAGTTGTCAGCGAGTAATAGCAGTAAGTAAGTAAGTAAGTTGTCTATCTGATTAATTTGACTCTATTTAGCTTTGGTGACCTGTGTCACTCCCCAATGCAAAATTGCTAAAATCGTAACAGAGAAGCACTGCGGAGGAAAAATACTTGTAGCAACAAAATTATTTTACCGTTTTTAAGTAACTAATTTTAGCAGTATGTCCCTATAACCTATAATTATTGATATCAGAATAATTTTCTGTAAACATTTCCTCGATATATAAACAAATTTAAGTTCAGTTCTAAGAATATACATGTGCAAAACAGCGCATTGCTTTAACAAAATGTTCTTCAAGTGCATTGTTTTTCTGTCTATTTTATGTGGTTTATTTGCTTCAGGTACTAACATATTAAGTGAAATTTAAAATAAATGTTTTATTAATGCTATTGATACTTTTTGTTTTAGATTGCATACTTCCGTCAAGCAAAACATACTTTGCATCCACAGAAGCCGTAAGTTTATAACAATAAAGGCTCACACATACCTTCTTTTCCAGCTGTTATTACAGACTTTTTAACTATAAATTCAAACTCCCTTAATTTTTGCATGCACATTATCATTCTGTTTTATTATTTACCATTTTATTTATTTATTATATATCATTTTCGGTTTGTCCTTTACTCCTACGTGGAGCATAAGGCTTCACTAAATGCTCTCCAGCGAGTTCGGTTGTTTGAAATTGATTTAACATCTTACCTTTTTTTTACTTTTACTTTTTCTGCTGTTTTTCTTTTTACGTTTACTGTTTCTATCTACTTTTTAATTGTTCTTTACCACGTATGTCTTGGACAACCATTTCTTCTACTGTTTTGTGGGTTCCTCAATTAGCTCTGCTAGCGATGTTGTTGCCCCTTCGCCTTGCAATGCAATCCGCTCGCTACTACTTCGTCCAGTATCGCCTCTTCTAGAGCCGTTTGCTGGTCAGTGGTCAATGCTATTGGTCCCTTTTTTCTAGTAGTGTTTTTGCTTTTGTTTTGGTTTGGGAGCAAATCCTTTGTGGATCAGTCGGAGGTATCTCCGTACTTCTGCTCCGCTAAGACATATTTTCAGCGGATCGTCTAGACCGCCTGGTTGGTAGGTTGGTCAAGTTTGCCCCCCGTACTAGAGGAAATTCAAAAAGAGATATACCAGTATTTTGCACACATTTTGCACAATTTTGCACACCATAAATGATATTTTGCACACTTACATAAGAGAAACTAGAGCGGTTTTTTTAAACGGGGGGCAAACTTGACCGTTCCTTCCCATTTGTTACGAAATTGATTTATTTCTATGTATATGGATTCGGCTAATTTTGCACAATTTTGCACACCTATTTTTAAATTTTGCACAACCTCCTGACGAAAGTTATAAGGAGTTGAAAATTTGAAATCCCCCCCATCTGTAAATAAATTGAATTTTGTTTATATCAAACGAATGGGCTAATTTTGCACAATTTTGCACATCTATTTTAGAACTTTGCACACCTTCCTGACAAAAGTTATAAGGATTTGAATATTTGAAATTTCCCCCCCACCTGCCAGAAAATTGAATTGTGTTTATATCAAACGAATCGGCTAATTTTGCACAATTTTGCACACCTGTTTTTGAATTTTGCACATTCTCCTGACTAAAGTTGTGCGGGTTTGAAAATTTGCAATTTCCCCCCTCTCTGCAACGAAATTGAATTTCGTTTATATCAAACGAATCGGCTAATTTTGCACAATTTTGCACACCTATTTTAGAATTTTGCACACCTTCCTGACGAAAGTTATGAGGGTTTGAAAATTTGAAATTTGTCCCATTGTGTTTGAATTGTCCCATTTAAAAAACATAAGTATGGGTCATATTTGAAAAGGATAGATCTCAGCGACGTGGAAAACTGTACGGAACCCAGACTTCACCTTTTCGATAAGTTATAGGATAACCGAGATATGAGGATTGTCGAAAAATGCAAAATTTTCAAATTTGCCAGGTATTTGAGGAAGTAAGAGGGCTAAGACAAATCTGTGTGTAGAATATTTAGTTTCATAAATGTTCTTCTATGCAAGCTATAAATTATCGAAAAGGTGAAATCTAAGTTCCGTGCAGTATTTCACGTCGCTGAGATCTATCATTTTCGAAATATGAGTCATACTTATGTATTTTTAAATGGGACATTTCACACACAATGGGACAAATTTCAAATATTCAAACTCTTATAACTTTTGTCAGGAGAGTGTGCAAAATTCAAAAACAGGTGTGCAGAATTGTGCAAAATTAGCCGATTCGTTTGATATACACAAAATTCAATTTCGTGACAGATGGGGGGGAAATTGCAAATTTTCAAACTTTCATAACTTTAATCAGGATAGTGTGCAAAATTCAAAAACAGGTGTGCAAAATTGTGCAAAATTAGCCGATTCGCTTGATATAAACAAAATTCAATTTAGTTACAGATGGGGGGGGGGGGTGAAATTTTAAATTTTCAACTGCTTATAACTTTCGTCAGAAAGGTGTGCAAAATTCAAAAACCAGTGTGCAAAATTGTGCAAAATTAGCCGAATCGATGTACATAGAAATAAATCAATTTCGTAACGAATGGGGGGGAACGGTCAAGTTTGCGCCCCGTTTAAAAAACGGCCCTGGTTTCTCTTAGGTAAGTGTACAAAATATCATTTATGGTGTGCAAAATTGTGCAAAATGTGTGCAAAATAGTGGTATATTTATTTTTGAATTTCCTCTAATACGGGGGGCAAACTTGGCCGACCTCTGGTTGGCCCAGGCTGGGTAGACGAAACGGTAGCTTGTGTCGCTTGCAGAGTCTAGAAGTAGGCTACCGATTCTTACTAGAGGAGATGATAGCTTGTGTGCCACAGTAGCAGTGTAGTTACGCTGTACTGTTCGGGTCGCTCTCAGTGGTCGGGTAAAACGGATGTGTGGCCGAAGGAAATATATATTATATTTCAGAAATCTGCCTAAAGCTTAGCCCGATCCTATCGTGTTAAGCCACATCCAAAATTCCAAATACACGTGCTTTGATTAAGGCTTGATTAAAGTTTGCAGAGCTTCAGCATTTGCCATAAAATATCGAGCAATTTGTTACAAAACCATATAAATTATATATCACTGTAATCACAAAACTTCAATCTATTTCCGTATTGTAACAGAATTTTAAATTATGTCTTTATTTTCGAGAAAATTTAGTCCAAACATAAGGAATATTTTGTTGATGTTTGACCTTTAAAATCATAAAAATCAAGAAGTTGTCTAAAAATGTACTACAATACGGATACAGTATAATCTTTTATATTTAATTTCCTTCTTCATTTGTGGTAAAAATATCTAGCCAGTTTTACATAAAACGTTAAATGCTGAACGCTTATTTTGCTACTTTATCGGAGTAGTGAAATGGACTCTTAACTTAATAATACTTTACTTCATACTTTTAAACAATTTTACCAGTAACTGTGTTTTGCTACAATTGATTTATTGAAATATCTTATTGGGAATAACTTTTTCCCAGTAAGATAATAAGTTATTTTTATAAATTCATGGATAACATATACAATAACAATTATTTATTTTTGTAGCTGAACTGGACAGATGCTAGAGAAGCCTGCATTAATGTTGGTGGGGAGTTGGCTAGTATTATAACGAATGAGGAATACAACTCTATTGAAACATTTTTAGTCCAGAACAATAAAAAACCAGCAAATAAATGGTGTAGGTACCATATGATCGAAAAAAAAACGGTATTGCAGGTGAACACACAGTCTGGTTGCTAGAACAGAAACGCTAAGTTCCTGAAACGATATACGTGTATAATAATGTGCACGGACCTTAAGTTCCAAAAATAAAAATGCGTTTCTATGGTAAAATTATTTAGTTTTCATTCTTTGATAGATGTCAAAATAAAAAACATTAAATCACCACAATACACAATACAAAATAATTTTACTTTTACACTGGACTGAATCAGCAGATGATTAAAACTAAACTAATGTTTATAAAAAAATAGCCAAGCGAGTAAAAACCAACCTTTCCAGTATACATACAGTGTGTCAATTTTAAAACTTCCCACCCTTAATATCTTCCTTGCAGTTAAAAATATGAAAAATCGGAAAGACACGTCAATTTTATTAGTAAGGGGGACACTTTAAATGAATATTTTTGGCCTTTTTCTTTCAACCCCTTAGGAGGGGTAGATGTCACCCTTACAATCTTAAATGGGAATGGGGGTCAAGTGGCACATCGTTTTAAAGGACATTTAATTCTCTTTTCAGCCGTATCCTACTTTGTTGCTTTTTGTCCAGAGATTTTCTAATAATCGCGTTTCAAAGATGCAGAAACAATTAAACATGCCTGCATTGAGATTTTGGTTTTCAGGCTAGTGTTTACACAAAAATTATTGCAGTGGATCTCCTTGTAGTATAAATGATTAGAAGATTAGGTGGCAACATGGACGTAGCCATTACATTTTTCTAGGGGGTCGAAATTCGAAATACTGATAAACAGAAAACATCATAAACATTAACGTTTCCTTCCTCAAATTCGAATGAGTGGCAACCTCTAATCAGTTTCACAGGAGGAATTGTAAACATTCCAGCAGGACGGTGCTCCAGCTGATTATTTTTTTCCGGTCCGACAGTGGTTAAACGAGAGATTTGCAGGTACGTGGATTGGCAGAAGGGGACCAATTGAATGGCTTTTTCTCTTTCTGGGGGTGGGGGACATCTTAAATCCATTGTTTATAAAACACAATCTACTGATACTGATGATCTTAAAAGGCGAATTACAGCAGAATGCCAGTCAATTCCCGGTGAAATTTTCCCAAATGTTAGGGAGGTGTTTGAAAACAGACTTTATTACTGTTTACGGGAAAATGGACAACATTTTGAACAACTTGTAAGGTAGGGCATCGTAAGTAATCTTCTAATCATTTGTACTACAAGGAGATCCATTGCAATAACTTTTGTGTAAACACTAACCTGAAAACCAAAATCTGGTACGTTTAATTGTTTCTGCACCTTTGAAACGCGATTATTCGGAAACCTCTGGATAAAAAGCAATAAAGTAGGATACCACTGAAAAGATAATTAAACGCCCTTTAAAACGATGCCCCATTCCCATTTAAGATTGTAAAGGTGACATCTACCCCTCCTAAGGGGTTGAAAGAAAAAGGCCAAAAATATTCATTTTAAGTGACCCCTTACAAATAAAATTGACGTGTCTTTCCAATTTTTCATATTTTTAACTGCAAGAAGGATATTAAGGGTGGGAAGTTTTAAAATTGACACACTGTATAACAATACAAATACCAAACTTAGTTTTAATCATCTGCTAATGATGCTAACATAGTCCTTCTCTAACAAGAAAAAAAATGATCCTATACCTAAAATAAATCGTTTTTAAGTTATTTAAGATTTAATTTGAAAACGTTTATTTTTGTTGATTTTATCTAGCTTTCTTTGACATTAAGTGTCAAACGGTCAGACAATTTATTTCCATCTGTCAGAAAACGAATTATTTGAATCTCCTCTACTTATTATAAATACTGCCTGCTTAAGAGTTCAAAAAGTGTATTTATAAAAAAATATATCTCGTATTTTCGCTCTTTTGTGATATCTAATAGTTGATATTATTAATAATATACCGATGTATGATCGAAAAAAAAACAGAGCAAAGTTGGCTTGAAAATGGTGATCGATAACATAAGGCTTTTTGAACAAAATGTCACAATATGACATGGCCAGATCTATTGTTTTACATCAGTTAACGTTTAAAGTCATATGTTACTGGTTAAAATCAAGAAAAATATACGCTTTAAAACTAAATCTTAAATAACTTAAAAACAATTTATTTTAGGTTTAGGAACATGTACAGTCAAAAAGTAACGAATTAAAAATTCTTTTCACTAGTGAAATAAAAAAATTCGGTTTCTATTTGAAAAAAATTATATATGATAATTTTTTAATCTCAATGCAGCTCAATTCCAGCTGCAATCGTTATTATATGACATTCGAACAATTTCATTTCTAAAATAGATAGCCACATGTCTTCTCTTTATGGTACAGTGGCTGTGGTAATCATTAAATTTGACGTTTTGACGAGGCTATACACATATTGTTGACAGGCAGTTTCTTTCATCCAAAAATTTTAAATATTTTTTTTTCTCTCAAAAACGGTTAATTTAATTTGGTTTGGTTTAATATCAATTATGTATGTAATAATAGGTATATCATTCAAGTATGTAATAAAAAATGGGGAGACCCATTTAAAATAAGAAAGTTGCTGTCAACTTCTTGTATTTCAGGAAGTGCCGCCATATTGACAATATTTTTAATCGACAGATCTCGTTGTAAAACAATGGTGTGCAAAAAATCTCCGAGTTAGATATTGTCAAGAAAAATGGCGCATCCGCCAGAAATTAAAAATGTATTACTGGTTGCCTGCACAACCGCAACGTATCCGCCAGAAATTAAAAGACTTTTTCAGGCGCCATCTTTTAGTCAAGTCGAGAAGTAAGGGAATCAGACAATAGAATTGTCTGGTATGAAGAAGTACGCTTTCCGAGAATTGGGGAAATTTCGAGAAGCAGTCAATAGAGTATATAAGCCGGAGCCATCGACAGCTGAGACAGTTTTGAAATTTGAATATACCGCGTGGAAATTGAAAATCGGACAATTTGGTGAAGGAATCTTATAAATAGTTAGTTTGTTGTGTGTTATAAGTTAGTAATTGTGTATAAAGTGAGAAAATAAATTCGTTAAGTATTTTATCGTGAGTTTAAATTAGTGGACCCACGGAATCCGTAACAATTGGTGTCGGAAGTGCGATTCAAGAGGATTTTAAGCAGAAATTAAGTGGATTGGAAGATTTTTAGACCGAATTAGAGTATTTTTATGGTTGGTACAAGGGAACAAGCGAAGAAAATGGAGGAAGTAAGCAAATTATTGGGCGATTTTATGGAGAATATGAGAAGAGAGAAGGCAGAAGAACAAGAAAGACTCCGTAAAGAACGAGAAGAAGAGCGAGCCCGACTAGAAAAGAGAAGGCAGAAGAACAAGAAAGACTCCGTAAAGAACGAGAAGAAGAGCGAGCCTGACTAGAAAAGAGAAAGCAAAAGATAAAGAAGAGGAAAAATTACAACGACAAAAAAGAAAAACAAGAAGAACAGGACCGGCTTGAGAAGATTTTCGGAGATTGGAAATTCCAACAACAACAAGATAAACAGGAAGAACAGGACCGGCTTGAAAAAAATTTTCCAAGATTTGAAAATTCAACGACAACAAGACAAAGAAGAAGAACAGGACCGGCTTGAGAAAATTTTTAGGCAATTTAGAAATTCGTCAGAAGAATGAATGGAGGGAAATTTTAGAAGATATAGAAACGCGCCGCCAGAAAAAGACAAGAAGATCAGGACCGTCTTAAGAAAACTTTAGAAAATCAAGAAATTCGACTTCAGAAAAGCTTGGGGAACAGCAACAAGCAATGTTGGAAGTACGTTGCCAGGAACAGCAGAACCACTTCCAAGAAGCCGTAGAAGATCTGGAGGAGCGCCTTCAGCAGAAGATAGAAAGGTTGGAGATGGACCTACAGAAGACCAAGGTACAAGTAAGGACACCTGGCGTTCCGGGAACTGCGAACCTTAAGGCCCCGACCTACGATGGACAAACGACATGGACGATGTACCACCGCCAGTTTGAAGCAGCGGCTGCTGCCAACGGATGGACCGACCACGAGAAAGCAGCAGCACTTGTCATCGCGCTGCGTGGCCCTGCCCTGGAATTGCTACAAACTATTCCTGCAGCCCAACAGCAGGAGTACGAACCCTTGGTTACTGCATTGGACCGAAGATATGGCGACCAACATCGACGTCAACTTTACCAGGCCCAGATCAAGACACGCATGCAGAGGTCCGGAGAGAGTTTGCAGGAATTTGAAGCAGACTTACGTCGGTTGGTACACCTGGCATATCCAGAAGCACCGGAAGGGTTTAGGGAGGAACTCGCCGCCCAGTGTTTTATCAGCGGATTGAGGGACAACGAATTACAGAGGGCGCTACAAATATCACGATTTTCTACCAGCAGCGAAGCACTGGTCAGGGCGCTGGAAATAGAAGCTGCTTTTAGCGCCATCCCTAGACCGAAAATAAGATCAGTAACAGTCGAGGAACAGCCCGAGAGTACCCACAGAAGTTTGGAGGAGATGTGTAAAAAGTTCGACAAACTATGTGAGCTACTAATAAACAAAGGAGTCAACAACACCCAGACAGAGAACCAGAGAAGATTCCAAGATATTAGGTGCTATAGATGTGGCAGGAATGGCCATATCCAACGGGATTGTCGCATCCAAATGCCATTCCGTTCATCATTAAGAGAACATCGGCACATCGGAAGATCCCAGGACATAAGTTGCTATAGATGTGGCAAGAATGGCCACATCAAACGGGATTGCCGCGTCCAAATGCGATTCCGTTTACCATCGAGAACATAGGCACCAGGAAATCAACACTAATGAGCGAGTATTGGCTGAAGAAAACAGAGCCCCTAGGATGTTTTCCGTTAGGAGTCTAGGAAAAACCGCTGACAGTTTGGTGATCAACGGGAAGGTCAATGGTAGAAGAATTGGAATGACTGTGGACACAGGCGCTATGGTATCGTTGGTGCGGACTAACTCAGTGCAAGGATTGAAGATGATGCCTCTTAGAAGAAGAGTGTATTTACGTACAGTTACGGGGGAAATGGCCGTTGTACGGGGAGAGGCTTTCATAGAACTGGAGTTAGGGAATTTGAAGTTTCGGCATAGCGTTTTAGTGGCAGACATTGAAGATGGTTTTATCATGGGTATGGATGTGATCAGTCAACATGGTTTTTCGTTTGATCACCATAGAAACATCCTGAAAATCGGAAATGAGGAATTTTCTGTATCTAAAGAGAAGAGACCAGGAAATATGGAAGAAAGATCATCTAAAATTGTGATGATACCTGGTGATACCAAGAAGACTGTGTTCGAGAAAATAGAGGAAACCTCTGGGTGCCGTGTAGGACGGGTACAAATTATCGACAACGACCTAGATCGACGACGAGCTACCTTGGACAAGAAAATGAAACATCGTGGAAGCACTATCAGAGTAAGGAATTTTAAATTGAGAACCGACAAACAATGGACGACGATACAATTGAGGAAAGATCAAATGAAAGATCCAGACATCGGAGCAATACTACGGCTCAAGGAAGGTAACGGCGAGAGACCACCGTCGCAGTATATTGCGGACAGAGGGCTGGTTTTCAAAGCTCTCTGGGCTCAGTGGAATTCACTGGTGATTGAGAATGGATTGTTAAAGCGCACGTGGGAAAGTGCGGATGGCAGGACCGTAACAACTCAGTTACTGGTACCAAGGAAGAAAGTCACCCAGGTATTGGAAGAAATTCATGGTGGTAAAACTGGAGCCCATCTTGGGGTAAACAAGACCCTGAGCAAGCTGAGAGACCGTTTTTACTGGGTGGATTATTGTGAAGATGTTAAGAAATGGTGTCAACGTTGTAAGATTTGCGCAGCTAGACAAGGACCAAGTACTCGATCTGGAGGAAAAATGGAACAAGATAACGTTGGACGGTCGTTCGAAAGAGTCGTTAGGAAGGAAAGATTATTGGGAATTCATAAGGCCGTGAGAAGTAAGATTACGCTAGCCAGTGACCGGATGAAAGCTCGTTACGACCTCAGAGCTAATTCTACGGGATTTCAACAGGACGATAGAGTATGGTTGTATAATCCACAGCGCAAGAAAGGAAGGTCCCCAAAGTTAACTCCAGCATGGGAAGGTCCTTATACAGTCATCAAGAGGATAAATGATGTAGTGTACCGGATTCAACGCAGCCCTAGAAGTAAGATGAAAGTAGTTCATCTGGATCGATTGAAGAGATACCAGACAGGAAACCTTGATCGGGACGATCAAATTTGAGAAGGGGGCAATGTCAAGAAAATGGCGCATCCGCCAGAAATTAAAAATGTATTACTGGTTGCCTGCACAACCGCAACGTATCCGCCAGAAATTAAAAGACTTTTCAGGCGCCATCTTTTAGTCAAGTCGAGAAGTGCAGGAATCAGACAATAGAATTGTCTGGTATGAAGAAGTACGCTTTCCGAGAATTGGGGAAATTTCGAGAAGCAGTCAATAGAGTATATAAGCCGGAGCCATCGACAGCTGAGACATTTTTTGAAATTTGAATATACCGCGTGGAAATTGAAAATCGGACAATTTGGTGAAGGAATCTTATAAATAGTTAGTTTGTTGTGTGTTATAAGTTAGTAATTGTGTATAAAGTGAGAAAATAAATTCGTTAAGTATTTTATCGTGAGTTTAAATTAGTGGACCCACGGAATCCGTAACAATATTATAGTCGATGTACTTAAACAGCCGTTAAACGGTAGCCTACTAAAATGCCGTTAATAGGTATTGTGACGTCGTTCATGTCGGCGGAAAGTAACGCCTAGCCTTAAGGATTCTGCAAGTGCACCTGTGGGTCAGTGGCTGAGGCTATCGCTTCGTAAGCGAATGGTCCGTGGTTCAAATCTCACGCCGACCAAGACTTTTTTATATTTTTTTTTTGCTTATAGCGTGATCTTATTGCATTGGTTTCACTCTTTTTAGTTGGATTGGTTTAGTTATTTGGCGGGTTGGTTAGCGTGGTTATTTGGAGGGTGTTAATTCATTGGTTAGTTGGTTATTTGGTGGGGTTGGTTGATTTTTACTAATTTATATTTGTTTTTTATATTTTTTATCAGTATCAATCAATTATTTGGTGGGGTGGATAGCGTTGGTTAGTCCATATAAAATTTCTATATTTCATAAAGCCGTCAAGTGCGTCACATCAACGACGTCATACCTATTAACGGCATTTTAGTAAGCTACCGATTAACGGCAGTTTAAGTATAGCCTATTATAGTTCTCTAGGAACTTCTAATGCACGCTCAGCCTGGGACATCCTGTATATATTTACTGTAAAAATACAATTTTGATGATACATTTTTCTTGTAGCTGGTTATTGGTTGGCTGGAATAAGACACTCCGACGGAACATTCTACTGGGATACCACTGGCACAAGGGTTGGAACTAGCGTTGGAGGGTGGCTATTTAATGAACCCAACGATGTTTCGCAAATGGAACACTGTATCGAACTGAAATGGGATGATGAAATGGGATATTCGGGTTGGAACGATATTTCTTGCGACACAAAAAGACGGTACCTATGCCAGAACACAAAAAAAGAAGATTCCAGAGTAAAAAGCTTGGAGGATTATAGCTTCCTAGGTCAAGCCAACCCAAAAAATAAAGTAGAAAATTATAGATTAAGTTTTTATCATCTTCGTTTTCCCCGTAGAAGGTATTAACCTTGTTTATATTCATAGATAAATGTTCCTTCATTTATGTTTATATTATAAGCCGTCAAATAATTTAAAAACTAAAGTTAGTTTATAATTTATAATTTTCAGGAATAAAATAAACCTGAAAAATTGTTAATCCATTCATGTAATCATTTTTATAGAAGAATAATCCAAATAAAACCAATCGTAAAATTGTCTATATGTGTTAAAAAATCATTTTTTCTATCCTAGGTTGTAAAAAATAGACTAATTTAATAATATACATCAAACATTTTATTTTAGACGTTTAAAATATCACCAAACTAGACAGTTATTGTGGTAACTAAATTGATCTAAACCCCAGAATGTGATATATAAAATATAAGTCTGTAGAATCTTTAGTCAGATAACCAGTACCTATCCAGCTTGCAGCCAAAGAATGAAATTAAAAATTCTTCAGCAAAACTATGCTGAACTTATATTATGCCGGGTCCAAACAGGGGTGGACGGGGAAGTGGAAACCGGCCCGTGAAAAACAGACAACCGGCCCAAATCCACAAAAACAAAATGACCATAACGAAGAAACATATTTTATTTATTAATACAAGGTGTCCCAGAAATTAGTGCAAGTATTTTAACTGGTAGTATAGTTGAAGCCCAGAAACACGCCTATGAGGTTTTTCTCGCAAAAAAAAATTTTGAAAATTCCGAATTTTTTAAAAAATGTTTTGGATTTTTTTTTTAGTTTTTAGTTAAAAAACCTAATTTCTTGATAATTTGGCAACATAGGTAGGTGGATTAAATTTACAAGAAAGAAAATCCAGAGAAGATCCAGTGATCCATTCTCAAAATTTGAGCAAAAAATTATTTTTTTTGGAAATTTTCAAAGTAAAATAACTGCGTTATTTTGGACTTACTTGAAAAACGATGAAGAGAAAATATGTTTCATTTATCGAGATCTACCACTCCTTAAAATATTTGCACTTATTTCTGGGACAACCTGTATATAAGTAAGGGTGTTTTTCGCTTGTGCGAAAAAGCTCTTTTGCCTCCGGTTTAAAAAAAAATTTTCTTGATCAAAATTTTCGTAAAGACCTCTGAATCGGACATCTGAATTTTTACTACAAAATGACTCAGTTTTACAGGGTTCTACTGCTTTATTTCCATTATCGATAACGGTAATTTGATCTTGAATATGCTATGATTCTGAGTCACGATTTTGAGAAACTTTAAGACTTCCTGATTCATTCAGTTCAGCTGACCCAATCCTCTGTGAAATGCATTACTTTTAGCTTTTCGGGTATATACTTTCTTACACATTGTAGAAAGAAATTCTCACTTTCCTGCTACAGCAGCAGCCTCCTCGTGTACACGTGTTTTTAACTGAATGAACCGCGGTCGCCATTAAAACTGCAGCATATTTTAGGTTAGTATATAGTTCTTATCACGAAACTTTTCCTCTATACTGATGTAATGTTATGTTACAGTCCATAATAAGAATATTTGGATTTTCGAGACATATTAATATTTTATTATCTAATCTAGTTTACACCTTATTTAACTCTTCTATTTAATTCTGCTGTCTCAGTAATTTTTAGCAAACTTATTTTAGTAACATTTTAAACAACAGTTTAGACTTGGCTTTTAGCCAAGTCTAAATTGAATTAAAGAAATCAAAGAATTGAATCAAAGAAATGATGCCAAGCATAGATATGTTTTTCCGTCAACCGCAGAATTCGCGTCAAATTCGTCTACATTCTTACAAAAGGGAGCTCGAAAAATATTGCACCGAGGCCCCCAGTTGTCAATCTGCGCTACCGTATTCTTAGTATACATTTAGATCGAGACTATTTAAATTTACCTAATGCTATTCATTCTTTTTTTTGCTGCCAGTCAGTCATATTTATTAGTTATTAATCAAAGAATATTAGGTAAAACTATACAGGGTGAAATCTAAATTATGAAAAATCTAAATTATGAAAATACTACTACGATAGACGAAATATACGAAAACATCAAAGGGGCCACTCAAACGGCTATCGAAAAATGTTGTCCCAAAAAAGTAAAAGAACAAAAACTGAATCAAAGAACAAAAGTTTTAATGAAACAGAGAAGAGATATGGAGGACAAGAGTACACAAGAATATAGAACTTTAAACAGAGAGATATCCAAAGAAATCAGAAAGCATAGGAGGCAACAGAATACGGAAAAAATTAGGAAAGTCATAGAGAAGAATCAAAGTTTGAAGATATTGAGAAATAGTACAATGGGAAGAAAAGAAATACAAAAGATCAAGGATATGCACGGCAACATAGTAACACACAAACAGGAAATCCTACACTCTATTAAACTTTTCTATCAAGAACTTTACACATCAAAACAGCAGGGGATCAGAACCGACATCCGAAAGGTAATAAATCAGGGGTCGGAAGAAATTCCAGAAATAACCGAGGAAGAAATTATCAGTGCCCTTAGAGATATGAAAAACAATAGAGCTGCCGGCGACGATGGACTGGTAATAGAGTCAATCCAAGAAGGAGGACCAGAAATCATCAAAGCTTTAAATGTCCTATTTAATAAATGCATTGAAGAAGAAATAACCCCATCACAGTGGAACAACGCAACCATCATTATTGTACACAAGAAAGGTGACGTTACAGACCTTAAAAACTATAGGCCCATCAGCCTTCTTAGCCACGTATACAAATTATTTACTAAAATACTCACCAAGCGTTTGACAAATAAAATAGACTTTTTTCTTTCGAGCGAACAAGCAGGTTTCCGATCAGGTTACGGAACAAATGACCATCTTCTAACAGTCAAGGTCCTTATCGAGAAATGCATTGAGTATAATAGACCACTAATGCTTGTCTTCGTGGATTTCGAGAAGGCCTTCGATTCGGTAGACCAGCGGAAGCTTCTAGAGACACTAAGTGAGAGTCGCATCGATCATCGATACTCCTCAATCATAAGACATATATATGATAATGCCACGGCAAACGTCAGAATATCGACAAATCAATGCACAGATAAATTCAATATCGATCGAGGGGTAAGACAAGGCGACACACTGTCCCCTAAACTATTCGTTGCTGTGCTAGAAAGTATGCTAAAAATGATAAACTGGGATTCAACAGGAATTAACATCGATGGCAAATTGATAAATCATCTCTGTTTTGCAGATGACATTATTTTAATAACAGACAACATACAGGAGGCACAGAATATGCTGGATATGCTGAATGATGCTTCGGAAAAAGTCGGTTTGAAAATTAACTTGTCAAAGACACAATACATGACAAACCTAGTACTAAGTGGAAATTTAAACATTAATAACATACCTTTGGAACAAGTGCATATATATAAATACTTAGGGCATGAGATCGGTATTAGAAGGGATAATCAGACCCACGAAATTCTACGAAGAATAGGTTTGTCGTGGGCGGCATTTGGCAAACTAAGGCATATACTGAGATCTGATATTCCCATATGTTTAAGAAGAAAGATCTTTAACCAGTGTGTCTTGCTTGTCCTCATAGAATACAGGTCATGCAACGGAAAATGGAAAGGTCTATGTTGGGAGTTACACTCAGAGATAAAATACCCAATCATACAATACGAAATCGAACAGGAGTAAGAGATGCGGTGATATCTGTCTTACATCTTAAATGGAATTGGGCAGGACATGTGGCTAGGATGACAGATGGACGGTGGAGACTTGTGGAATGGAGACCGAGACACGAGGCCTATAGAAGCAGAGGACGACCTCCTAGTCGATGGACAGATGACATTAAGAGGGTGGCTGGAAACTGGATTCAAGTGGCACAAAATAGAAGGAAATGGCTAGAGTTAAGGGAGGTTTTTGTTCAGCAGTGGACGGTATAAGCTAAATGATGATGATGATGATAAAGGGTGAGTGTTAAATAAGTGCAAATATTTTCAGGGGTGGTATATTTCGACCCCACGAACATGTCTATGAGTTTCCCTTTTGCAAAAAAAGATGTTAAAAATCGAGCATTTTCTTTTAAATTTTTCTGTATATTTTAGAAAACTTTTTATAATTCCTGTTCACCGCAAATTTTCCCACGGTATAGTTTCTTAATCTTTGATATTACGGCACTGAAAGAGATGCAAATACCGAAAAATTGACGTGGCTCAAATTAAAAAAAAAATATTTTTAAAACTTTAATAACTCGATTGGACTTATTTGAAACTCGATAAATAAAATATATTAACTCGATAAATCGAAAATATATTATGTTTATTTTATTGAGATCTACCAGCCCTGAAAATATTTGTTTCTGATAGACTGACTTTATATAATAAAAATTTTCAAACGGAACAAACAACAGATGATTATTAAAATTATAAGTGTCCCAGAGAAAGACATTTTACAATAGTTATATTACAAATTGGTGTTTATGTTTAAAAGCAACTGACGATTATATTGATGAAAATAAATAGTTAGTTATGGAGTCACTAAGGATCTTACGTCACTTTAGTTAGAAGATTAACCATTTAATTTTTGCTAATCCAATCTTTTTTGAGCTCTGAACGGGACAGGCCCACCGACCGGCCCATTTTTCCGCCGGCCGGAATTTTCCCGCTTTCCCATATGGCCCATCCACCCCTGGGTCCAGACCAAGCAGACAAAACAACGACAATTCATGTTTTACGACAAAATTGCGACAAATCCAATACATTTTTGTGACATTTTTGTCTCATTTTTGTTTTGTTTGAAAATTCGGAGACTTTTCAATGTCCCATCTCGAGTAGGTAAAGATTAAAGTGTCTATGTTCTGTTCGTATATGTTACAAGTTGTCGGCGCAGTGTGGATAGCGTGTGCTGCCATAAAACTCATTCGCAACAAGTAAACTTTTGACTTTGTTGCACTTGTATTCGTGCGGTGTGAGGAAAATTTGTCTCAAGTTTGTCTTGTCCCCATTCTTTGTCGCAAGTTTGTTTTGTTTTTGTCTCAAAATCGTGTTTACTTTTTGTCGCTTTGGCCTGGACCTGACATTAGGGACGCTAGTTGACATATCACTCTCTAATGTAACAACCTGTATATTAAGAGGTTGGATTTCTATCTAATTCGAATTAATAACTGAGCCACGATAGGCTTCGGAGAACATCTCCAGTGTGAAACTCATACGTCATTAAAATGCAATACAAACTATGATACAAATTTACTTCTGCTATAAATATATTCAAGGCTAA